GCACAATTCCTTCATCCCGAATGAGCTTGCCTTCTTCATCACCTCCAAAACATCAAATCCATCAAAAGTTCAAGATACCAAACATCAAGTCCATCACACTTCAACTTCAGTTTCATATGAATAACGCAGAATGAAGAGGAGTGAAACAACAAACTTTGTTATAGGAGTATCATAATCCACATCAGTATTAGTACAATTTATCAAGATGGCACAATCCCCTTATTTGAAACTTGAGTATAACTTTATCATCAGTGAGTCCAAAACCAAACCAACAACCACCAGCGGAGCTCCAGATAGATCAAGCCTCAACGGCATCTCACAATCACTACCCCAAGTAACATATGCCACCTGTGTATCCCTTCACAATCGTTACCCAAGCTTTTGCTATGTGTGTGTTTCTGGTTTCTTTGGAAAAGTTATCTTTGTGTTCATTCTTAAAATGCATACACAATGTGTGGTGCCATGAGATATGTGTTGGTCTCCTAGGTGATTCTTGGTCCATTTTGAAGTGTTAAAGTACAATGGTCACTTGATGACGCAAAAACAAGAGAGAAGAAAACAGGTATGAATGTATTCAAGTAAGAGATCTAGAAATTGTTCTACAGTTGCTGGTTTAGTGTTCATGTGATCTTAACTATAAGAAATTGAAATTTGATTGGGAAAATAGCCATTTCAGCACTTTTTCCAAATTTTTGGATCTTTAGAAAATTTTTGAAATCCCAGCCATCAGGGGAAATCCCCCAAGATTGTTTTTTTTATTTCATTTTGTTTTTTTTTTCAAAAAGTTGAAATTGCAAGTTTTTTAGAGATTTGGTGGTTTTGTGACACCTGAGAACTTCTCGGCCGAAACAAATGGCTGTATATATCTTTTGGATATACTAACAAATGATAGGTGGCTATGGTCTTCATGGCGCCATTAGACTTAGAATCATCTGGGGTATCTTATTGATGTCTTTTGGGGAACCTAAAGCTTTCATTACTGGGCTTTTTATGTTTTGGAAGGTGCTTACTCAGTAATATAAGTTGGTATTTTGAGGTCAAAGTACATTTATAGAATGCTGACTGGCTCAATCTTGGTACTTCTGTTGCAGCGGTGGGGAGGGTTGTTGTTGTTTAAGTGAGAAGAAGGATGATTTGAGGGTCCAAGCTTGAATTTCTACATTAGGGTATAAATTGCTCTCCAGTTTTTCCAATATAGAGCTAAGTGGTTTTTAAATTAACGTCAGAAGTATGTATTTTAACTCTTTTTAGGATTGAATCATGTATCAGATTATTGGTCTGGTGTGACTTAAAACATTTTTGTGGTCTATTGACTGAATCATCATCATCAACACACTTTGTTGATCTGCGTCTGATTGGTCTCTGTGCCGATAAACCACTTTCATCTCCGTCTGCTATTTTGGATTTATCACAAATCAATGCACCAATTAGAATCCTAGAGTTTAATTTCTGTTGAAGAGTGGGAGTCTCAGCTGCTGTATAAAAATTGACATCATTGATTAACATGCATTCAGCACTTCCAGTAAGGCTTCCGTCTTGCTGCTTCTTGAATTTGCTATTGAAATTCATAAATATAGTGTGTTCAAGATCAACCAACAATCCCTGATCCAAATTAGTGCACAAAGTGTAACTAAATATTTGATTTGTTGAGTTATTTATCACTTGGTTATTGTGAGTAGCACCAACTGAATTTTGTTGGGGGACTTGATTTGGTATGATCCTTGGTCTTTCAGAGTTGATAATGATTTTTGTTTTTTCAACACCAGCTTCATCTTTTGAAACCAATCTTAAACCTGAAATAACTTCAATGGGAGCTGGGTCATTTCTTAATGTTCGCAATCTGTCACTAATGAATTTATCACGGTATTTATTATATGAATTGTTAAATTGGATGGCCTCTCTTGTGGTTTCAATATTGAGCTCTAAAATGTAAGACATAAAGGTCTTAATTGGAGTTATTGCTCTACGCTCAAATATAAGACTGATCCATCCTTCTGGCAACTCTGACAATTCCTGGCTCCCAGCTAAACAATTGTCTATAGTTCCATTCAAAAGTTTTTTTAAAATTACCCAAGTGGAATACCAACTCTTATTACACAACGCTGTATTTATTTTTTTTTCAAGATTTGCAACTAGTTCTGTCAATAAATATGATGTAGAACGGTACTTTAAATCAAATTCAATAACACCAATGGCTTCGCTGATCCTATTGTTTGAGGCAGCGTTCAAAGGTGAACCTCCTGTGTTGTGTGTTACAATATTCCCAGATGGTGGCATTAAAAACAACAATTTCCAAAGCTTCGAAATTTCAAATTCACAATTGCTAAAGTCTGCATTATGGAGGTCTGAAACGGTGTTTGCATTTCTAATTATATTTGAATACACAAAAGAGGAAACATTATCAACAACAAACTCGGTGATGGACCAGAACCAAGTCTTGTGGTCAGAAAAGTCCAAAATATTGCTAGCTTCATTTTGACCAGAAACATTCCTAGTAGTAATGCTGAAATTATCAAAAAATAAGTGGTAGTTTATTTCTAATAAAGGTTTTTTTAATTCATTGTTCAAATTTCTAATCAAGGTGTCTCTGTTGTGCGCTAAAACTAGTGTGCAGCGTCCAAAGCTTGCAATGTCAGCCTCTGTCAATTAATGACTCCATATTGACTCAGTAGTCCTCCTGGTGATTATTTTACTGGAAAAAAACCACTGCTATGGTGCAAAACACTTTCTGTAGATTTTTTATATATCATGAGAATATTAATACAATAGTGTATTAACCATAATACACAATATACTTGACATAAGTATACATGACATAAGCTCTAGCAGCTAGTATTTCTGATGGATAATCTCGGATCACACTTGGCTACACGTAGGATTTTTATATTCTTTCATAAAAGGTGGTGAGATTCAAAGAATATATCAATGTGATTGTCATATGAGTACTTGATTGTCTAGTTATGGTTACAATAGAGTTGTTAATAAAATGTCGCGTTCTTATTTGACCGTCAACTGCGCATTCGACCACCAGTATTAAATTTTAATATAATATTTTCATAGTAAACGATTATAACAGTCAACTATATATATCCATCAAATCCTAAGCCACTTATAATCTATCACACTTTCTAGAATATAAGATGATGATGGAGCTCGTATTACTGTCCACTTCGATACTTACGTAATTCTCAGCATTATAATTATAAAATTTCGCGCACTGATCATAAAAAAAACATGAAAAATTGAAACATCAACAAACTAACAAAGAAAAAAGAGGCTTGACGGTCCTCCACTACATTTATTTCAAAATCCCAATTCCAAAAAATCCATTGTGGGGCTGGTGAACGTTCCAATACCATATTTTGAAGCAGGCTACATATGATTGAAAAAAAAAAGAGTGCCCAATTGTGGAAGATAAGACAGCTAGATTTAATTTTTAATCAAAGAAGCTTATAAAGATTTCGTTACAGTTAATCAATCGATTAGATGAAGCAGTTCAAGAAGATACTGATCAAGTTCAACAATGTCTTGGGGTGATCAATGGTGTTGAAAAAATGTATGAATATATTGCTTTTCTTCTTCCCAGGTATCGTTTCTGCCTTTTGAGGGCTTGAAGTACCCATGATTAAGCTTTTAATGCTTGAAAGATGCTCACTCAGTAATATAAATTGGAACTTTGAGGCCAAAGTACATCTATAGAATACTGACCCGCTCGATTCTGGCACTTCGGTTGCAGGGGGTAGGTTCTTGTTGTTAAAGGGAGAAGAAGGATTATTTGGAGTACAATTTGGGTATCTCAACTTTGCGATGCCAAATCTAGCTGTAAACCAGCTTGAAATTTGAGAAAAAGAACTGATCAATCAACATACCCTAGTTTTCGAGAGGTCAATCCTTCGATAATGATCACAAAAAATAAATTTTGGTTTTAAATTGTTGATTTCTTGTTTCAATATTCATACTAAAGAGTCAGTGCCAAAAAGGTTTTGGTTGTTCCTCAAACCTCCACCTTATAAACTAATTGAGTTTTGGGATCTAGTTCTTGAATTTATTCTCATTTGGTAGTAGTGACACTCTACGAGATTTCCAAAACTGCTATGAATTACGTTGATCCTGGCCTGTCAAGATAGGTGTGTGAGCGAGCATTGAATATACCAAAACTAAGTATGCTTGTCAGCACGAAGTGTCATACCTACATTCTGAAATCAGATCTTGAGTTTATATATACAAGGCATTTTTTTTCATATAAAGAATCTTGTTTCTATGTGATTTATTCAGCTAGCTTCTGGTTCATCCTCTTTCTTCTCAGAAGGATCATTGTTTTTACGGTGACTTTCCAAAGTCAAGTATAGGTGTTGTGATGCAGATTGTAAAGTTTGAACTAATCCAGCACCACTCAAAACTGTCAACATACCAGCAAGTTCTGAATGTAATTGTTCTTTTGAAGGTAAGTCCTTGAAATTGTTAACTTGAGGTAAATCAAAAACACGGTTCTCAATACGAGCACCAACAACGAATAATTTTTCATTAGCAGTTTTCAATGTTTTAAGAATCTTTGAAACAACTTGAGGATTGTTTTCTTGAACTGTAATCATAGCAGTTGGACCAACTAAAAACGGTTTTAATGGATGATCTAAAAATCTAGTTTTTTTATAAGCTTCAGCACTTGAAGGATATTTTTCATTTTCCGCTTTCAAATAGGCCAGTAGTAAATTGTTTCTTATAACTGTGAATTCACCACCAACTTCTCTAATTTGATTTCTAAATGTATTTTCATCGGTCTTAACCAAATTGTTATGATGAGCAAACAAGACAATTGGAGTATCTTGCAACAATGTTTTATATCTGTTTATTAGATATGTTTTTCTTGAATCATCTTTCTTCAAATTTGGGGGAACTATCTCACTTTTACTTTGTTTTGTACCTTCAACGCCTGTACTATATGATCTTAATGCTGCAAAAGATGACAAAAAAGCGTTTTTTGAAGCCTGCTTTTGGTGACTGAGCACACTACCTAGCTGCGTTATACCCAACATCCTATTAAATATGACTGATTCCCTTTAAGATTGGTTGATTTGTCTTTTATCTTCCCAATTTTACTGATGTTGGAATGAAAAATTTTTGGACACTTTTTTCAACTTTCCAAAAGGCCAAGATTATGTAATCTCTTGATGTTTTTTTTTAACAACAACAAAAAAATGGCTGATAACGAACAAATTTTTGATGGAATTTCGTGTTGCAAAAGCGTTTTTTGAAGGAATTTGAAATCATCTATACTCTCTACTTGGGCAATTTCTTTCATTGATTGATTCATACATTGAACCACCTTTTTTTCCATTGTTTAAAAGTTGAATTTCAAGCTCAAAATCATACGCGTATTCTACAAAACAATAAAGAATCATGAGCGCAATAAACACTCCTCATCAGTCGCCTAGAAGCGTCGCATCTACAAAGACAAGTCCCTCAAGATACTCAAAGGCCACTCATCTCACAGAGTTCTATCCTTACTTGAATGGAGGGTCCCAAATTCCTTCAGTGCCCGTTGAGAATGAACGAAAGGATAATAGCAGGCAAACATCTATGAAATCTCCAGCTCATGAAAGAAGACAATCCCTAAGCACAATGAACACATATCAATCATTTTCACCATCTACATTAGACCTGCAAACTCTGGTTACTAAAACGGACATGTCCAAAACAACTGAAGCATATAATGACATTTTAGCTGCCTCTGAAGATTACAGAAAGGCATTATTACAAGTTGCAGAGGCTGCTGGTAATTTCGGTGCTGCCTTGGAGAATGGGGCTAAATGTAAAGGATCTGGGAATGCTGCTGATGGCTTATTGTCTGCTAGTGGACTATATTTTTTGGTTGCTAATCATCAACAAATTTTAGCACATAGTGTTAAGGAATCTTTTGAAGTTCCAGTATCCAAAGAAATCAATAAATTTAAATTAACTAGTGCAAAGAATGATGAAATCTTTAAGAATGAGATTAAAGAGAAAGTTACAAATTTGAAGAAACAAGAACGTGAAAATATGAAATTATCAAAATTGAAATCAAGAAATTTAGTGACTTATAGATCTAAATTATTACAGTTAACATCACATATTGATGAAATAGATAGAGCCAAGCATGACTATTACCAATCTGCATTTGACTTAGTGCAGGACACATCACTCAATATTTTAAAACAATTAGGTTCTATAGTACGGGCACAAGTTGAAATTTATGAAGGTATTGCCAGAAAAGGGTGGTCTGGTGGTGGGTTAGACGAATTGATAACAGGATGTCCAGACCCTTTCACTAATGAAGATGATGAAGATGAAGATGAAGAACATGCACAAAATCATAATGATATTCAGTTCGGGAGTGACAACGCCATTGATAATGAGGATAATGATGATGATGATGATGAACAAGATGATGGTGATGCTGATGACGATGATGATGATACCATTGGTCCTATTCCCCAACTGAAAGAACAATTACCACTCACATCAAATACACATGGGCTCGTGTTCAATAGTCATACAGGTTCAGTTACAGAACCTATATTGAGTCATTCGCATTCCACTAAATCTTTTGAAAAAACTTTAAAAAGTAATGAAGTGATACAATCAAGCACGCCAAAAGATACACCAATCAATCCAAACATTGATGATTCAATCGATGACAATTCGTTCTCGCTGCCACTTCCTGGGTCTTCTTCCAGAAATAACATGAAGAGTAATGTGGACTCTAATGATGAAGAGAAAGAAAATAAGCTAAGCAAGGAATCAATTGATGAGGCTAATGCTGCTGGGTTTAATGAAAGTGAAGTTGAAACAGAACATGAAGGTGAAGATGTGGAAGGGAAGGGAAAAGATCATGATGAAATTCCTCGACAAGATTTTTATGGTGTGAAAAATGAATGGTTAGAGTAGAAATGGGTTTTTCCATAGTGTAAAGAATGGACATTGGTGCTTTTAAAGTTATAAAAAACAAGTAGAAGCGTTAATAATTGTAGTTTACTCTTTCTAATTAAGATTATTCTTATTGTGAAGATTTTAGTACTGTCATTTTCTTCCGTGTCACTATCCCCCTTACAAAAAACAACTTCGAATTGACTTCAACTTTCAAAGAAAACAACACACAAAACGACAATCCAACCTGAACAACTGAGATCACCGAAATGTCTAAATACGTGCTACCTAAAGCAGTGAAGGAAATAAGATTTCATTTGTCACAAGTGGCTGAAGCCAGCACTCCTTTGAGGTGAGTTAATTCGCGTTGAATAGAGACAAGTTCGACTCAACTCCCTAATGATTATTTACTAACAAAGGAAGAAATTTTCTAGTCAGTTCATATCCAACTTTGCATAAGAATAATCCAGCACTACCAATTTTAATAAGGGAAGCTCAAAGCGCCAAACCTACTGTTTTTGTTCGTTTTGAAAAAGGTGTTGAAGTTAAAAAGGACTTGAATGGTTTAGACAAGTCACAAATTGAAGGTGAATTAAAGAATTTACTCGGAATATGATTTGAAAAATCACTTATTTATTATTTATTATTCATATTTATTATTTATTTATTTATTTAACTATAATGAGAAAACATATTTATAACTTTTCTTGAGTATTGTATTCACCAAATTGATAAACACCCCAACCTAAAGACAATGATGCATTATTATACAACTCTTGACCAGCTTCAGCTGATGCTGCACCAGCTGCAACAACTACTGGCATGAAATGCTCTAAAGTAGGATGTGCATGATATAACAATGATCTTTCATTTTCTTGAACATTTTCAAGCTTTGTTAACCTTTCTTCGCCCTTAGAACTGGCGATTATTGAACTTAATAAATCATTAAACTTGGAAACGTACGCTAATGGCTTACCACCTCGATCCATTGCAATTCCAAGATCACGAAGATTGTGAACAGTCATACCTGAGCAGATAACAATTCCTCCTAAACTTCTATATTTTGATAAAGCTTGACCTAATCTATGATGGAATTCAAAATCATCAGAAGCACTCAATGATACTTGGACTAGTGGACAGTCAAGATCCCATTCTTTATCTTTAGGATTGTTTGATGAAAAGGCAACTTTGAAAGGAACCCAAACGCCATGATCTAAACCTCTTGAAGTCAATTTGGAGTCAATATTTTGGGAGCTTAACGTTTCTTTAATATCTTGAGCTAGTTCCACATTACCTTTTGCATGAAATTTTTCATCATACATGTGTTTTGGAAATCCATAAAAATCATAAATCAAATCTAATTCTTGAGGATCTAATAGATCTTTTGATGAAGAAAAAACATTTTTGGAATAGGAACTTGGAACTCCTATCTCCACTCTATCATTTGAATTTGATTGCCAATGAGCAGAGACAACAATAATGAACTTTGGCTTAATGGTTTGTTGGATGTATTTTCCTAAAGATTGGACTTTATTATAAGCACCTTGATCTCCACCGAATCCACTACCTGGATACATAAAAGTTGGACCACCATGGCTGAAGAAAAACACAGGTGTCTTTGCTTTCGTTTCATCAAAGATTGTGGAACTAGATGAAGCCGTTGCAGCAGTAGCAGTTGAAGCAGCGAAAGCAGTAGCTGAAGTTGTCATATTAGCTCTTGACCTGGCGATGGTGACACCAAATAATCTTTGAGTGAAGAATTGTAGTCTTGAGCCGAACAATGCGATAATGATGATGAAGAGTGAAATACCAACTGACCAAAAGGATCTAGAGGCCATTTATATAAGTTTTGGGAAGTAGTATTGAAGTCATGAAAACTGGAATTTGTCAGTTTTGGGCAAAGATTTGAGTTTATAAATCAGATTATTCATGTTGTTGGAGCTTAGTCATTTTACTAATTCAAAAGGGACCAAAACTGAAAGAAATCGATTCTCGGACGATAAGTTCATTGGAGACGATTTTTTACATTTCAGGCGAATTCAAAAGGTAACTGAAATGATTATTAAGATGACAGTTACCTTCGAACTCCTCTGTGGATTCAAGTTGTGGTTGAGATTGTTCTGTTTTGTTATTCATTTAACCGATCTACGAAAAAGTGGCTTCAAAAATGTTCTTTTCAATTATATACAGGCTTTGGAAAAAAAAACTAAACTCGAAAGCACTCATATTGATACTCATAAACTTCATTAACGTCTCCACCAACTACTGGCCTCTGCTCTTGATTTGGCAACTTCTTCAGTGATCTTCTCTTCTGGCTTGTGCATCATTGGTCTTTCTTTGGCAGCAACGGTTTCTCTAGCTTTAGCTGCAAATGCTTGTTCTTTTCTTCTCTTGCTTCTACATTGTTCCCATGATACTGTACTTCCTAATAAAAACCCACCAACACCCCAATTAGCAGCTTTTGTAGGTGATTTTTGTGCAATAAATATAATTGTACCCAACACACCTAAAGAAGAAATACCAGTCATTAAAGCTTCTCGGAGACAGGGTATTTTCACTAATCCATTGAATGAAAAATCATCAGCTTTGATACTATCAACAGCTTCTTTAATTGGGAGACTTGGATTTGAAGGACCATTGTTAAATCTAGGTTCTGTATCTTCTAATAATAATGTTTGATCGCTTCTTGGAGCAGAAGTTCTTCTTGGTTTTGATTGACTTGACTCATCCACAACAACTCGATCTCCTTCATTCTCTTTCTTATTAAATGGCCACACCATGATCACTTCTTACAAATCTTGACAGAGTTTGTTTTCGATACTCCTGTTATCACCTCTTCATCATTGGGAAAATTTTTGTCTACGGTGATTGGAAAATTCGCGAATTTTTTTCGACACCAGAAAAAAGGCCCATTTGGTGATTTTAAAGCACATAATAACGATATTAAGATCTAAAAACTATAAATATAAAACTATGAACCTCAAATATTACGACTACATCAAAAAAAACGCCAAAAAAAATGCAAAAAATCAAGAGCTTGCACTCAGGATCGAACTAAGGACCAACAGATTTGCAATCTGCTGCGCTACCACTGCGCCATACAAGCAATTTTTTCCTTAAAAATCCGCTGAAAAGCTAGGCTTGCTCAAAGTCACGTGACTTTCCAAGAATATAATAGCTATAATTTCAGCAGGAACCATCAGAAAATTACAATTTTTTTGATTTTGAAATATTTAGCTCTGAATAAGCAGTTGAATCATATCAATAAACATTATTACTGTATAATACAAAAATTTAAATAATTAAATTTCATGATTTAGTCCACGTACTATCTTTTATTTCAAAGTGGAAAGCTTAGGCTTTTTATGCTTGGATAAAAAAATTATTGTTATTATTATCATTATAAATGATGTTAATGAATATACACGATAATCAAATTCAGCTCATGCTATTATATATTCTAAATTTCGTGCATTAAGATCAATATTGTGTGTTAATTGATCCGGCCGACCAAAAAAATTATTTGTAATATTCATATTATTAGCTACTACTAGTACTACATAGTTTCTTATTCCTTCACTGCTAACATAATATAGCGCCTTTATGGTCGCAGGATTATCATTCACTACGTATGGAACACTTAATTTTAATTGAAATGCTCACCTTGATCATATAAATTCGGATGATCAAGTGAAGTGCTTTTTCACAGCTTCTGTCGAGCTTTCAGCACTAGAAAACTCCAAAGCTTTTCCCTTGCAGCTATTATCCTCGTGATTCCTTTCCCTTCTCAAATAGTATTTAATTCTCAGAGCTTTCATTTCAAAAGGGTCCAAAAATGATTTTTTTTTGTGTCAATTTGGCTTTCCCAATTCGGACTGCAAATCGCGCGACCGTTTTTTTTTCGCACAAGCTTTTTGGTTGTCAGGGTAAAATAACAACATTGAAAAATTCCTGTTTTTGAGTCTAGATTTTCAATTGTTCGAATATGTAACAGATTTGCTACATAATAAATTAGTTACATCAACAGAGTTGAAACAAGCCTGAAGCAACCATACATACGGATAATTATTCACTGCTGGTGTACTGGGTTTTAAGTTAAAGCAATAAAATGTACAGAAATGATATACCCAATCACCATTCGGGGGTAAATCAAGCTGCTCGACACGAAACTCCATTCCAAAGTCAACAACAGTTTAACAATCAATACAAGTCATCTCAAAGCCAACCGCAGACTCAAAAAGCACCCCCACAACCACAAGTTACTCCTCCTTATCCAACAGTTCCTTATCCAGGCTTCGTGGATTATCATACTACAAATATAAGCACAGGTTCCCTCACTCGTATTAACCAAAGAGATGAATTTTTAAATTCAAGTGGTATGAAAAATTCAACAACTTATTCATCTTTAGGCAGTTTTGAAAGTATACCAAGTGCTCCTAAGAATCAACCATCTTTGCCACCCAAAATACCACTAGACCAAGCAGAATATAGAAACAATTCTATTCAAAGTTCTTATAGTTTAGATTCAGGATCAACTATTGAATCAAATCATACTTCAAACTCCAAAATTGCAAACGAGCCAGAAACAATAAAATCATTTGACGAAGTACCACCTCCACCTTATGAAGATTTGAATTACGGAATGCAAAACACTAAACCTGAGAAACATGATGATAGTAAGGCTCCAATACCCAAGATGACACAACAGTTGGATAGATTAAGTGATGAGTTGCAACAATTTCAAATAGATGGTGGAATGACAAAGAGTCCATCGAGGGTATTGGATCCTAATCTAATCAATAAATCAACAGAACAAACTACGAAAAGGAAACCACCACCTACGGCTGAGCCGCAACAACCTCACGAAGAAGTTCCAATAGCGTTACAACCAAACAAATCCTTATACTCAGATGAAGTTTCACTTTCCAATTTTAACAGAATTAAAGATTTTGCAATTGAAGATTTCCGCAAGGGTAATTTCTCAGCAGATCCACAAATTGATTGGATAAAGACGATGTTGCAGTACGCTTGTGATGAACAATTTATGAAAGAATGTAATATAAATGGTGAAAAATTGACAAGGACGTTATCACCAAATGATGTTAAAAAAAACGAACAAATTTTTATTAAACAGGCTATAAAATTATTGAAAAAAGTGGTTCACGTTACAAAAGATCCTGATGCTCAATATATTGTTGCTTGCTTGTATTCTAATTCTCCAAGTATAAAAGTTCCATATCCAGCAATTTTAGAAAAAGATTACGCAAAATCATTTGACTATTATACTAAAGCTGCTAATCAAGGACATCCTTTAGCAATGTATAGACTTGGAGTCTCGTATGAAATTGGTATTGGAACCTCTCAGAATGATAAAAAGGCAATGGAGTGTTTTATAAGAAGTGCAGAATTTGGCTGTGTTGCCTCAATGTTTAAATTAGGTATGATTTATTCACGCGGTGCTTTGAAAGTTTCAAGATCTGCTTCAAAGTCATTAAACTGGTTAAACAAAGCTGCTGAATTAGCCTCTAAAGAGAATCCACACTCTTTATTTGAATTGGCTAAATATCATGAATACGATTTCCCTTTTTTGAAAAATGAAACACTTACCCAATCAGATGCCAATTTTTTGAAAGAACTACAATCTTTAGGACTGAATAAGGATGAACGTGTGGCTTTACAATATTACAAAGAAGCTGCTAAATTACTATATGCACCAGCCCAATGTAAACTTGGATGGTGTTATGAATATGGTAAACTAGGATGTGTGATTGATCCAAGAAGGTCTATTGGATGGTATTCTAGAGCTGCAAAACAAGGAAATTTTATAGCTGAAATGGCATTAAGTGGATGGTATTTAACAGGTGCTAGTGGTGTATTGGAGCCTAATGATAAAGAGGCATTTTTATGGGCTAGAAAATCTGCAGAAAGTGGGTTTGTCAAAGCTGAATATGCTCTTGGGTATTATTATGAAGTGGGTTTGGGTTGTCAAGCTGATTTGGAATTATCAAGAAAGTTTTATTTGAAAGCTGCTACCCAAGGGCATGATAAAGCTATAGCCAAACTTCGAGAAATGAGAGGACACTAATAAGGAAATAACAATGAACAATTTAATAGAATGAAGTTACGAAAAGTGTATTTTTAAGAAAGGGTTTGTTTTGTAGTATACATGATTTTTGTAGTGCTTTTAGTTACACGGCTGAAAATGACAGACTGATAAAAATTTTGATTAAAGAAAAAGTCCAAGCCAAAATTTAGAAAAACAAAAGTTGAGAAGTTTGAGGCAAGCATCAAAATGGATAGAGTATTGGGTGGGCTATATATTGGATCTTACCTAAGTTTAACAGGTAGCGAGGAAAATTTCTTTGAACAGAACCATATAACCCATATAGTTTCAGCTTTTAAAGGTGAATTATCAGAAGATTTTCAATCAAAGTACACTATCAAATCTATCCCAGTTGATGATGATGATATAACGAACATAATACAATATTTTGATGAAGCCTGCATTTTCATAAACCAGGCATTATTCCCAGATGAAATAGATGAGTTTTCTCGGGGTGTTAAGAAACCATTCAAGACTTGTGTTCTTGTGATCTGTCAAGCCGGAGTTTCAAGATCTTCAACTATATTAGCTGCTTATTTGATGAAGAAATACAATTTGTCACCTGATCAAGCCATTCATGCCATACAGAGAAAAAGATCAATAGCACAACCAAATGATAATTTCAAAGAACAATTGGACTTATATCACGAATTAGATTGCCAACTTGATGAAAAAAATCCAATTTATAGACAATGGCTACTACAACATTCATTAAAAATAGATCCAACAGGTCAATCAATTCTATCTAAAGATTCAACATATGTTGATGAAGGGAATGAAGAAGATTCAAAAGCTTTAACCCAATTGAGGTGTAAAAGATGTAGGCAAAAATTGGCACTTTCAACTTCATTTGTTGACCATATCCCACCTTCAGAAGATTCCAAACAATCACAATTCATCAAAAAAGCAGCAAATTCAAGACGTATTATTAGCATTCAAGCTGCTTCAAACACATGTTCACATTTTTTTGTTGAACCTCTAAATTGGATGAAGAATGAATTGCAAGGGAAAGCTGAAATGGAAGGAAAATTCCAATGTCCAAAATGTGAAACAAAAGTTGGGGGTTATAGTTGGAAAGGTTCAAGATGTAGTTGTGGGAAATGGATGGTTCCTGCAATTCATTTACAACGTGCAAAAGTTGATGAAATAAAGTTGGGAAATAAATGAATTGTCTCTGATGAAAGATAATGTAGTTTAGTCATCATCGTCTAGAACCATATCCAGATCACTTTCATTGATTGAAATATCCCCAGGATGTGTAGTTGTATCGTTAAAAGAATCACGGACATTTCTTGAAAATGAATTAAAACTTGAGGAAAAGGTTGCATTTTGTCTACCGCTGGTTTCATTATTGACTGGTGAATATTCAGGTGTTCTAATCTGTTCTCTTGCATAGTTGACACCTGTTGATCTATTATTACGAGGTGTAACTTCTTCATCATCTTGCTGGTACTCTTCTGAGACCATGAAACCTTCATCGTATTGACGCTCATAAGCTGTTTGATCATCATATTCTATCTCATTCTCACTTAAATCATTTGCTTGGTCATAAATATGATCATAAGTATTCTCTTCAGCTTCAGGAATCTCATCATCCAAATCAATTTGCTCAGTAGCTTGTGTTTCTTCCTGTCCATCAGGCTGTATTGGCTGCTCATTTCTTTGCAAAGCTTCACCAACCTGATCAGAACCTTCAATATCTTCATCTTCAACAACATTATCACCTTCACCAAGCAAATTTTCCGCAGTTGGCGCTTCATGCTGGTATTGTTCCTTCATTTGTTCTTTAATTTGCATTTCTTCATGTAATGTTTTCATAGTTTTACCCACACCAACTGGAGCTAAATACGAATCACCTAATGTTCGTATTGAACGAAGTTCTCTCATTTTTTGCTCAATGTCATTGAATATCAGATCGTTAAAGTCAGTTTCTGTAGAGGAAGCGGTAGCCGAAGATTGGGACTCTCTTGAAGGGAGCATTGCACCAGGTCTTTCTGAGGAATAAGCTGACAAAGGTGGTGCATATAGTATTCTTTGGCGTTGGTTTAGTTCACTATCATCATCTTGATTTCTTCTAAAAAGGTTGTTTCTTGACGAATCCAATTTGTTCTTGTTGGAGGTTTTTTCATTTGGCTGCATCCACAAATGGTGAATGTCTCGTGGCATCAAGTTTGGCATGTACATCTTTCTCAAATCAAAATGGGTTCTTTTGTAAGTTATTGCTTCTCAGATGTAAACATCATCATCAAAACACAAAATTTATGAGGCACTAGCGACACGTCACAGGATGACAGAATTCATCTACAAAATTCAATAAAACAACCAAAAAGTAATATGTATATAAAGTGAATTGAATTATATTTACAAAGATATTGATTTGAATATATGATGAGATGGATTCATTTGACTCAGGGCTTCAAAGCACCTTCATTACTTCCAAATAACCAATCCCAACGACCTTTCTTATGTAACATTGCAAGCACTAAAATCCCAGGTAAATGCCAAACAGAACCCCAAAATGTTTTCTTTGCATACATGTTTGCCAATTTCATACCATTTGCATCTGGAACATGACCTGATTTATAATTTTGTCTTTGTTGATACCAAAATTTGAAAGACCAGTAAGCTAACCAACCATTCAAAATAAATGAATCAATTGGGAAAACCCAATCAGTAATATCAAAATAACTTAATCCAAAACAGATTGGGAACATTAATAAGGCATAACGGAATCCAACTCTTGCGTTTAATCTTGGGTTAGTCCAACAAGTCATCACATAACCTGCATTTCTATATTCATTTCTAATATTATGACTTAAGGCATTGAAATGAGGGAATTGCCATGCGTATAACAAGGCAGCAAGACACCAAGCACCTGGATGTGTTAATGGGGAAGAGGCAGCCCATCCCATCAAAGGTGGAATAGCACCAACAATAGCACCAACCCATGTGTTTAAAATGGAACGTCTTTTCAAAGAAGTGTAAATCCAAGCATATAAAACTATATTTAAGCCAGCAAGTATAGAAACAGTTGGGTTAACACCTAGGTATAAAATGGACACACCAAGTGTACCAGATATAGCAGCAAATTGATAAGCTTGTTTTGGTGTAACTAATCCTCTGACAACAGGTCTTGCAAGTGTTCTAACCATCAACTTGTCAAAATCTGGTTCACGACCCATATTAATTGCATTTGCAGCAGCTGATGATAAACCTGTACCTACTGTTAAAAACAATAATTCTGGAATTGTGGCACTGAAAGGTGTTAAAGCATATGAACAAATTGATGATAACACAACTAATGCAGTTAGTCTCGGTTTTGATAATGCGATATATGGCTTTATTATTTCAGATAAAGATTTTTGGACCTCTTTGTCAGTCGAGGAGATGGTATTTTTTTCTTTGGCCTTAACTTCAAAAGGTATATGTGATGTTTGTAAGTTTGATGCTGTTGGTTCATTTGGAGTAATGTCTGATGTGCAACTCAATGCCTTGGTGATTTTATCATTGAATTTTGGTTTGGTCAAGTTTGAAAGAAACTCTGTTGGTGATCTATCAAGTGAAGGTTGCTGGGTTTGTGATTGTGTAGAATATTTATTGGTCTTGACTAGCTGGATAACGGTTGGATAGATTGAGGGTATACGAAACCTCAGCGTTGAAGACGTGTTCAAGCAAAGACTTGAACGGAAGGGGATCATATTAACGTGCTTGGAAATGACATCAACTAATAAACCACTTTTATCACTCTAAGATGGAGACTTCACTGCGCTTGTTTAATTTGATTGTTGAAATGGTGTTGATGTTTTCTGTAATAACCTGACAAAAATTTTGGACAATTTTTTTTTTTTTAGTAGGGAAAAATGATCTGGGAAACAAAATCTTCAAGATTTAGATTTGAGCGTGAACAAGATAGATTAAATAAGGACTTAAAGGGGTGTCCTTTGATTGAATGAAAGGTCAGGTTTGGTATAGATCGTTATGGTTTATATTATCCTTTTTTTTTGAGTTGTTTCGTAGAAAATTTGTAGTTTTCAGCATGGATATAGCATTTATCGGGGTATGGATTAACAAACACCACCAACTAGATGTAAATCCTACAAAGAAATCCACTTTTAATATACAGATCATCATAATTAAATAAAGACATACAAAACTTCCTTAGTTTTCCACTTTGGTTTCAGTCTTCTCTTCACCATTCACTTCAGCCTTTTTTTCAAGCTTAGCAAGAGCATCTTCTTGTTCTTTTTCTTCTAATTTCTTGTTTTGAATTTTATTTTCAATCAAATCATGGAATGCAATGATTGATCTAACCAAACTACTAATATATGTAACCATTAATTCATCATTGGTCTTAACAGTAAAAGCAGCAGCCAATGGATTCTTTGCATTGGCAACATTTTCAACATCTTCTTCATTTAATTCATCTATTCCTGATAAATTTGGTAATAAATTGAAAATATCTTGTAATTTACCCAAGATGGTATTATTAATTGGTAATGTACCTGATGAAACTTTCTCCAAATAATTAACAATATCTCTTAATTTCAATTGTAAACCCTGTAGAGACTTCAATTGATTTGTTATTCTCAACGATAATGACCCTGCAGCTTGATCTCTAATATCTCTTAATAAATGCTCAACACCTATCTCTTCAGCTTCCTCAGCTTCAATAGTGGATGGAATGTGATTGAAAGTCTTTTCTGTACTTGAACCATCATCTTTAACTTCTTCAATGGCTATGTATGCATCTGTTGGAATACCAACACCACTCTGTTTAACATCAACAATTAATAATGTTGGATTTGGAGTGTATCTTTTGAAAACGTCATTAATCTTCAAATCTGAAGATTTTAATTTAGGACCTGAATGATACCAACCAATTAATCTTTCTTTGGCATTGATTTTCTTAAACATTTCATTCATTGATTCAATGTAGTTATGATCTAAAAACCAAACATCTGGATTTTTATCATCTTCTTCAAATGGTATAGCAAAACTGTTTGAGATTCTAATGGTATCTGTGGAATTGTCACCTAATATCACACCAACAACTCTTTTTCTTGTGTTTTGGGCAATTCTGTTATAGTGATCAACAACTGATAGCAAGACCAATGGTGCCACTGATACTTGTTTTTGTACTAATTTCTCGTCAACTAGAGGCATGGTGGCGACTTTATAATTCAAGGGCTAAACTTTGGACAACAAACGACGAAAAAAACACACAAAAAGTAGTTAACTCAACAATTCAATCAACAATTCTATAATTCCAAGAACCAATATACTTTATAAATTCAACAATTGCTTGTTCTCTCTGGAATCTGAACTTTTCCAATTGGTTTTGCCAAAGGCATTTCGTCGAATCCCAAAAATTTCGAAAACCAGAAGAAATCGATCGACACGATGAAAAATGGCAGATTGTTAAAGAAAAAAAAATCGAGGAACTTATATTAGTAACTTTTCATAAAGTATATCAAATACAACATTTCTCATAAAAAGTTAGCATAAATGCCATTTGGTCAGATTGTTATAGGGCCACCAGGTTCAGGGAAATCAACGTATTGCAATGGTGTTGTCCAATTTTTCAATGCTATCGGCAGAAAGTCATCGGTTATAAATTTGGATCCAGCAAATGATAGATTACCTTATGATTGTGAATTAGATATAAGAGACTTCATAACGCTAGAGGAGATCATGGAAGACCAAAATTTAGGACCAAACGGTGGGATGATGTATGCCTTAGAGTCACTTGATGATTCCATAGACTTGCTAATAAAGAAGATTGAAAAAATCTCTGAACATTCTTATATTGTATTTGATTGTCCAGGCCAAGTGGAATTATTCACCCATCATTCATCATTACACAAGATTTTCAAGACATTAGAGAAAAAATTAGATATAAGGTTATGTGTGGTGAGTCTTATTGATTCATTCTACTTAACAAGTGCTTCTCAATATATTTCAGTCTTACTTTTAGCTCTACGATCAATGTTACAACTTGATTTACCACATGTTAATGTTTTCAGCAAGATAGATCTTGTTTCCAACTATGGTGAACTGCCTTTCAATCTAGACTACTATACAGAGGTCCAAGACCTTTCGTATTTGAAACCACATGTTGAAAAAGAGTCAAATTCAGTTTTAGGGAAAAGATATTCAAAATTGACAAACTATATAGCAGAACTAGTGGAAGATTTCAACCTAGTATCATTTGAAGTTTTGGCAGTGGAGGACAAACAATCGATGATTAATCTGTTGAGTGTGATAGATAAGGCAAATGGATACATGTTTGGTTCTACAGAAGTTGGTGGCGATACTGTTTGGGCCGAAGCTACAAGACAAGGTGGTGCAGCAGACGTGGACATTCAGGACAGGTGGATTGAAAATAAGGCCAAGTATGATGAAGAGGAAGCTAAACGCAGAAAGGAAATGATTGAGGAAGCTGAAAAGATGGAAAAACCGTTTGATGTTGAAGATGAATGGGAATCTGCATTGAAAGATTGGGAGGAAAACCACGCTACCATCCGTAAATAAGAAATTTCAAATAGTATCTCATTATATTCATCCTAGTAATTTTTTAGCAGCCTCAATGTTTTCTTTAGCAGCAGTTAAATCTTCAGTTCCTGTATAGTCTGTGATGTATGATTCTAAAGATTCTTGAGCTTCAGAGATTTTCTTTCTAACTTCTGGAATGACCTTTCTAGTATCTTCAAGGACTTCTTCTTGTTTTTTAATTTCATATGAATCAGCATTGGATGATTTTAAACCTTGGACATGTTCTTCTTGCTCTTTCAATTCTTTTTGATATAAACCTTCTTCTTTGATTAGTCTAGCAAGAGATTTACTTTTGATTTCTAACTGAGTTGGTGCCATTTTGAAAGAGCTTTTGAGACTGTTAGACAACGAAAACGACTACCAAAACTAAATTTAAAACTCACAATAATTTCCACTTATGAATGAATCTGATTTGTCACAAAAGACACGAAACTTTTCAAACTTTGATCAACTTTTTGAAATCAAAATAAAAAACCGGATTTTACCTGATTGGTAAACTCATCTCAAATTTCCCGGAAGTCAATTATTTTTCAAGTCATAACTGAAAAAACTATGGCTACACTTTAATTCAAGTTTGCTTTATATTTTAGTAGTTAGATCCTGTTGAAGAAGATTTGGGTATATAATTTTGGAAGATGGATGCGATAAGAGAAAGGATAGACTCAACAGTAGCCAATTTGGAAGAGAAGAAAGCCGTTTTGTTGAAACATAAATCTCAATATAATGATTTGAAATTTAGATTGATGGATTTTGGACAATATAAAGAAACAGATCAACCAAAAGTGGATGTTAGAATGAATTCCAAGGCAATTGTGAAAGGCCATATCATCAATCCTCAAAAAGTGCTTGTTTTTCTTGGTTGTGAATACTTTGTTGAAAGAGATCCAACTAAATCTATCGAACTAGTTGAACATAAGTTGAAATTTTTGAATAAGGCTATTAGTGAATTTGATAGTAAGATCAAAGAAGCCAAAAAGACGATAGAGAATATTGGTCATCTAGAAGAATATGAAAAGAATCAGACTGAGAAGAAGGAAGAAATACCCAAACCTCAATCATCAAATTTGTCATCAGAAGATCTACCTTTCATGGATATCAGGGAAGAGTTAGATGAAGATGGTAATGTTATCAATAGCACAGTTCAGAAACAAGATGAAAATAGAATAAAAGAATTTGGAGAGAAACATGGAATCAAAATGGAAGATGATTCTGATGATCAAATAAATGAAATGTTGAAAGATATGGAAATTACACCTAGATCAAAGATTGAAGAGTTACCTGAAGAAGTTATAACGGAAGAGTCTTCAAAAAGTAAAGAGATAGAAACTGAGGATATCAAAGAACCAATAGTATCAAAAGTCGAAGAATCAAAAACTGACACACCGTCAAAAGAGCAAGATGATTATTTTGATCTACTGAAACAATTGGGAATTTCAACTGCAGGTGATCCCAACAAGCAACAAGAGTCTAGAAAGCCAAATGAGGAACCGAAGGATGTCAATGAAAATGATTCAACATCACAAAACGAAGAAAGCAAAGATATACCCTCTGAAAACGACTGGGAGAGTTTCAAAACCGAAGGTCCAGCTATTGCTGAAGATGACATTTTACAATTGCAACTAATAGCTGATGAAATCGAGGAAGAAGGCGATTATGACTACGATGATGACGAATTTGATCATGATTTTGAACAAGATCAAGATGATGATGAAGAGGAAGAGGATTGGGATTTCAGCTCAAATCCAGAAAATTTAGTCCCAGAATCGCATAGAAATTTATTCATGAAGGAACTGAACCGTGTTAGAGCAGAAAAAACTAAAAGTGAACTTCCCGTGGACACAAAAGATGAACCAATTAAAGAGCCTTCAAAACCTAAAAAGAAGAAATCAGTTTCATTTGCACTAGAATTACAAATCAAAGAGATTGAAAATGTTTCAGAAGAGCTAAAAACAGCTCCAGATATCAGCAGAGTCTCCAAATTCAAGCAAATGAGAATATCTAATACCCAACCCCAAATACAAGATGACGATGAAGTACAGGAAGGTGAAGTCATTGAAGCTGCTGTTTCTGATTTGATAGTGGAGAAAAATTTACCAGAACCAGTCATACAAAGATCTATTTCAGAGACTGTTATTTCAGATATAAGGGAAAAGGATGAAGAGGAAATACCGGAACCTCCTAAACCAAAAGTTTCAAGATTCAAACAAAGATCTGCCAACCCAATGGAACAACCTCAAATGAATATGTCTATCAATGAATCAATTACTGAAAATATAATAGGGAATGGAACAACAATGAATGATATTGTTGAAAGAGAACCAGATCAAGCGATTGTTGAAGCGGTTTCAAGAGCACAGACACAAGAACCAGAACCACCAAAACCAAAAGTTTCTCGTTTCAAATCTTCAAAAGAACAATCAAAGGGAAATGTGATATCAATTCCAGAATCTGAACCCCAATACATCCCCGAAGAAAATGAATACAATAACATTAAAGCATATATTGCAAATGATAGTGATGATGAAGATGAATTGAACGCATTAACAGATCTAGAAGTTTATACAGCTTCTGATTTTGATGAAGATGGTCAATTTATTGAAGAAGCCGATGACGATGAAGATGATGAAGATGATAGAAACGTTTTAACAGATGAAATCGTGGAACATGATGAAGTTGATGATCCAAGTTACTATGTTGACGAAAATCTGTTACAAAGAGAGTATCAAGATTTGAGAAGAAAAATGATTGAGAAATATGTAAAGTCTGAAAACGCTAATAATGGGGATAAGATCATCACAAAGGAGGAAAAGGAAAGTGAATTAGAACCAATTGATGAGAGTGGGAATCCAGTCAAGGTGAGTAGATTTAGACAGTCAATGAGCAAATAAATAATAGATCATAGCTAATTTTTACTTGTACATTGTATCGTAAAAAATGGTGCCAATTTTCATTGTTGTTGGCCGTTTCGCGAAATTGGTTACCTAGGTTACGAGTCGAAAACGAGACCATATAAATTGGAGCATTTTTGAAAAAAAACACATATTTTCCATCTTCTGTTTCTTCTTCTTCATCTTACAAAACAAAGAAACTTTTACCAACGAGAATAGGTTTACTGATTGAATTGAATATCTACGAGGTTCAGTCAACTCCAAGTTTCTGAGATCAAACTATTTAGACATTCTCTGACGTTTTGATTGGAATTTATTTCTACAATCGGAACGATTATTTCTTGTCTGATATCTCATGTGTTATGCAATCATCTATATAGTTATATAATAAATGGCTTGATTCGAATAGTCCTATGGTATAATGTATAATGTATTGTTATTTAGTCAGCTTGGTACCCTGTTAACTACACGGAGCCCACCTCTATACCCTGGTGACTGAAATTGATGTATTGGTTGGTTGTGCTGTTGTGTTGAGGATATAATATCTGAGTTGATTATGTTGGCTGGTAATGATGGCAATCTTCTAGATCTTCTTGTGAATATCGAAGTATCACGTTCATTACAGGGTGACTGAGGTGCAGATGGATCATGGGTTTGTGCTTCTCCTTCAAAATTTGCTCTAGATTTATAATATGCATCTTTCTTGATGACATTGATTGTGTGTTGTGGTAATATTGGTGGTGTTTTGGTTTTGATTTCAAATTGATCATGATACTCATCGTAATTTCTCATGTAACGAATTGAATCCCTTGGATGGAGTTTTGATTTGAAGTTTTGAGGATTTTGATCAGAATATTTGGTGATGACCGATGGCTCAATACTCAACACATCATCTTCTGGAGAATCAACAAATGAGTATGTGCTTGATGGGTTTGATGCTGTGTCTGACTCTGAAGATGCTGAGGATGCGGAATTCACTTCTGGTGATGAAAGATTGTGATGTGAGTTTAGGATTTGTGGAGTTGTTGGCGATTGGTCTGTTGGCATGACTCCAAATGGTGAATTCTCTTCATAAATTTGGATAATATTGGTGTAATCATGGAGTTGATGTAATGGTTTTTCAGTTTGATTTAGTTGGATAGGCATTGAAACTTGTCTCTTTTGTTGTTGATTTTGGAATCTTTGAATAGGAGTTGGTGGTAAGTTTTTAAAATCCATTGGTGGCTTTCTTGCTTTTGGTAATGCTTTTGGCTTTGGGCTTGATGATGAAAGTTCATCTTTAAATTTAGGTGGTGGCATCAAACCTATTGACATATCTTCCATCCGTGTAACAAGGTCAAATATTGGAGTGCTTACAACTCTTCTTGTTGGATTTCCCTTTTTACCACGAAATCTAGTTTTCACCCTGATTGGAAGATCATTCAAGTTTACTGGGCCCTATGATAATATTAGTATTTTATGTTTTCAAGTGCGAGAGAGATGTAGTTGACTTACATTTTTCTTGATCTCTGGGATATCCAAGTTGATGTCATGAGATATTGGCATCATATCTTCAACGGTGATTTGATCACCACTAAACTTTCTAAGATACCTCATTTAATTTTCTTTTATCCCCTAATCTTTCCCTAGTTTGATCTCAAGTATCCAGAACAAGTTTGAAGTAGAGAGAAAAAGGAACTTACTCAAAATTGATACTTTACGGATCCATATATAAGAGATCACAAGAGTTTCGATGGAGTGTTGCTGGGATCTCAAAGAAATGGATGGTCATTTCTCTTTTGGGACTAGTGGCATAGTAGCACATCTCTATTGTTAAGGGCTTATGCAAACTGGGTTTCATGTTTCTCTGATTCGAATCAGATTGTGTCAATAAACGATTTCGCGAAAAATGGCTGGTTGGAAATTTGGCGAGGGCCACGCTGCACGCACTGGGAAACTAAGAGACTTGAGGCTTTGAGCTTTGAAAAGGCTGGCTTTTAACCACCAAAAGGAATCCAAATGATCCAGACTCGAGTTATTTCTCATATGATAGCTCAAATCGGGATCTCCAATGAGCCGTTGACAGCTATGGAACCCATTAGACGTGGTTGATCCGAAGAGATCAAAAACCCAATGCTAGTACCCATAAAAAGTGAGCTAACAAAGAAATAGGTCACCAAACTTAGAGCTTCAATACTTGGAGGTTGCCTATAACCTTTTGGACTTGTTTATAATCAAATTTAAGCTAGAATTATCAATTATCAACCAGTCACTAGAGCTGTCACCATGGTAATGGATAGAGAAGTGGCTTTACCAAATATTTCTGAAAAAAAAAATTTCGATAAGGTTTTTTTCTTTGAGATGAGATGAAAAATCACTGTCTAGTCAGTTTTGAGACCAAGGACCAGCTCTTCACAAAGAGAAAAGATATGACTATTGAAGATAAATTCGAGGAGCTCGCTATATCGGAAACCATACCGAAAGCCGCAGCTGAAGAAGCTGTGGAAGAAGCTGATACTCGTATCGGTCGTGATGACCCATTCGTCTTTGGTCAACGTAAACTACAAACTGAAGAAGATGTTTGGAACCATAATGCTTGGGATAATGTTGAATGGGGCGAAGAACAAGTGAATGAAGCCAAGGAGAAGATCGCTAAACAATATGATGAACCAGTAAAGGATTTTGATAAACAGTTATATAATGGAAATCCAGCTAAATATTGGGATACCTTCTATAAAAACAACAGAGAAAACTTCTTCAAAGATAGAAAATGGTTACAAATTGAATTTCCCCAACTATATGAAGCTACAAAAGAAAACTATGGCCCAGTTACCATCTTTGAGATCGGTTGTGGTGCTGGTAATACCCTTTTCCCAATTTTGAATCAAAATCAAAATGAGGATTTAAGAATAGTTGGTGCTGATTTCAGTCCAAGAGCTGTTGAACTAGTTAAAACTAGTGAAAATTTTAATCCAAAATACGCTCATGCTGCTGTTTGGGATCTGGCTGATCCAAATGGTGCTCTACCGGAAGGTGTTGAACCTCACTCTGTTGATATTGCAGTTATGGTTTTCGTTTTCAGTGCATTAGCTCCAAATCAATGGGACCAAGCTGTTGAGAATTTAGCTAAAATAATGAAGCCAGGTGGTAAGATTTTATTCAGAGATTATGGTAGATATGATCTTGCACAAGTTCGTTTCAAAAAACATAGATTATTAGATGATAACTTTTATATAAGAGGTGATGGTACAAGAGTTTATTTCTTTACTGAAGAAGAATTGAGAGAGATTTTCACAAAGAAGTTTATAGAAAATAAGATCGGAACAGATAGAAGATTACTGGTGAATAGAAAAAGACAACTTAAAATGTATCGTATATGGCTACAAGCGGTATTTGAAGTTCCAAATTAGAGATATTATTTATTGCATTAATTAATTTTGTACATTAACTTATTAGCACAATTGATACATGTAGGAATCCATCGACATAAATGCATTCATAAGAAAGCTCTGTCAATGGAATATTTAATGGTAAAGTTATACCATGCAATACAGGTTTAGCTATAATATTGTTCTTAGTTGAAGGGAATAAATCAGGCACCACTTTATGTAGGGCATCCCCTAGTTTTGTTGGATCACCATCAGACTGGTAAGCCTCTATGGGGACATCAATAACCTTGTCAGAAACTGGAAGATAAAGCCGCAGTGGAATATTTTTCAACTTTTTAGAGCTCTTGCTCGTGATTTTAGGCATTATTGACCAAAACTTTTGAACATCGTGGTCTTCCACCGACTTCCAAAGATCTGATGAATCTTGTTTAGATAAAACCATTACAAGTTTTGCGGTTCCATGCTGAACATAACATGACTCTTTGACTTGATTAACCCAATGAGACTCTAGGGTCTTATAATCTGGTAATGGTAAGATATAATCTGGATAATTTCTGTAATGAAGTATAAGTCTCCAAGTGGAGTCAGCTTTCCTTTTCTGGGGATCAAGAGATGTTAATGTATCATAAAGTAGCCCAATTGGGTAGTTCCTATTTATTGTTAGAGACAATTTCTTTCTATTATCAAGAGACAAAACACTCACCACTTCAACGGCACTTCTTCAAATTCCAACCACCATTCAGATGACTTTGACCATCCTGGAACCAATAAGTAAGGTTCAAAGAATCTTAGAAGCTTAGTATAGTAGAGTGGGAAATATGAATTTCTATCAACAGTGAGCTATTCCTAGTTAGTATTTACCAAAACATGTAGTTCATTTGATATAAACTCACGTAAAACTCCCTGTTATGTGTCATCTGGTTGCTGTCACTTGGCGAGAGCACCACGCAAACGCTCAGGGACCCATTCCATATCTTGGAGCTCAATTCACTCATTTGAAAGTACAATTTTAGCAGCCTTTCACAGTCTTTTCATTCGTGTCAAAGCTGATGTTTTTCAAATAATTTGTTTCTCCAAAGTCTATACATAAACTAAATTCGCGAAGCATTGAGTTGCGCACTACTTTTTTGAAAAATTGGTGTCCATGGAAAATTGACAGATGTTACATAAATTTAAACGACAATTTGTGTGTCAATTGTTGAGCTACCCAAGAAGAGGAAACTTGGTATTACAATGGACCCAGATTCAATATGGGGCCAGCTCAAGAATGTTTACTTTGAGAAGGAGACGCTGGTGGTCTCAATGTTTCATATAAACCCGATGCTCACAAGGGAGGAAATCAAAATTGAACTAGAACGAGTGAAGAAAGATTTGGAAGTGAGGTTCGATCCTTGGATTAATCACTACGTATGGAACGAATCACCAATAACGTTTCAAATGACAGAACATGATGACGTGGATTATATATATGGTGAACTTGTGTTTGGTGATTACTTTGCTGATGAATGGCTTGTTACTCAAATCTTGTTTGATTTATCAAAAACATATGAGGATTTATATATACATTTATCAGACAATGAGGGTGAATTTCTACTTATTGAAGGTGCCCAATATTTACCAGATTGGTTAGAGCCAGATAATGCAGGAAACAGAGACTGGATAAACCATGGAAGAATATTGATCATACCAGAAGAATACTACAAGGACAGAAGCTTAAAACTTGCGGAAGCATTGAAATTTTTGGATCGCGCTGTTTATAAGTGCTTGAAGGTTGAGGAACTGGATAATGCTGTTATTAAAAAGGTGAAGCAGTTCCCTAAAGTAGCTCTTGAGGGACAGATAAGCTTGGAAGTTACTGTACCCAGAAAAATTGCAGGTGTGTTGATGAGGAACAGGGTTTTGAATCAAGCTGTATTATCATTCGGGAAAGAGATCACCAACGAGAAGGTTTCCCCTAAGCTTGATGACCTGGTTGATTTGAAGATCCAGACTACTGCATTGGCCTATTTGTTTGTTGATTATTATTTGAAATCTCAGAATTTAACCTCCCCAAAGGTCGATGGAGGTAAACTTGTTACTCAAGCCGTGGAAATGTACTTAAAAGAAGATTCAAATTTGAATTTAACTTACACACCATCTGACCAAGATCTAAAATCTTTTAATGAGCAGGGTGATGTGCTGCAAAAGGAGTTGGTTCGTTTAATGAGAATAGATAAGTTTGTTGAACCTAACTTGGACTTTGGAGACCTACCAACAGGAGAAGATGGTTTACAACAAGATGATGAGATTATATCAAGACTAGAAAGTTTTTTCAAGGACACCAACGCTGGTTTGGATGGTGTAGAAACTCCAGCTGATAAGACTGGCTTGCCTAAAGCAAAAATTGAAGTAGTTGAGTCTGAACCAGATTCGGATGATGAAAATGAAGAGGCAAGAAAATATTTTAAGGAAGAAGGAGTTGATATTAGTGAGGATGACTTTTTCGAATTCTTTGCAAAAGAAGGATTGAAGTTGACAGATGAAGACTTAGAAACTTTTAGAAATATGAGCTTGGAGCACGAGGAAGAACCTAAAAGTGACGGAGACGAGCATGAGGATTATGACAGCGAAGAAGAAGAACTTTTACAGAAACTGGGATCTGGTGGAGTTGCGGAATCGTTGCAAGAATTGTTGAAAAGTTTAGAAACGGAAGGTGGAATGAATGGACCAACAGCTACCTTGCTACAGAGCCTGGGAGTGAGTCTTCCAAAACCCAAGGACTGAAGCGATGCACGCCCTTCAAGTCGTTTTTAGCTACTAAATCACTGAATACCGTTTCAACTTCCCATATCATTAAACCTTATATATGTTCATTCATTAGTTCACATCTGCCTACCTCTTTCAGAAACATCACTTTCAAAATCAGATGCATTTCTTGTAGATTCTGCAATTCCCAAGTTTTCAAGATCAGTCTCTATATCTTCCATATTATCATCATCAACATCAACATCCTCATCGTCTTCTTCTTCTTCAATAATGAAGGCCTTTGATCTTTTAAACTTGCTGGATGGTGGAATACCACCTAGTGGAGATTTTCTTCTTTTGAAACTTTTCGGGAAAATAGCTTCATTATATTTACGACCTCTATTTGTTCTAAAAGTATAGTCCGATGAAGTTGTTTGATCATAAAATGATCCTTTTCTTGAACTGCGATCTGATGCACTTGAATTACTGGAAATCAAGCTCAATGATCTTCTTGTTGTGTTTTTACTATGCAATGAGGTATCTGATGATCTTTTTCTTGTAAATGCTGGTCTTGTTGTATTATCTGAATTAGTAGTATTATGTGATGCAGCTGACATATCCGACATAGTTGTCACTTGAGAAACCAATGATTGTTGTGAAATCATTGATACTGGTCTTGGTCTTGATCTTGTTTCTGGAGCACCATTAACTACCCTTGTTGGTGATTTCGGTTCATGAATCGTCAATTTTTTAGGTGATGTCTTGAAAGTTGGTTTGGGGATTGACAGCTTGGATGTACTTTGTTGGGCAGACTGTTGCTGCTGTGATGGAGTAGTTGTGATGTTATTATTAATATTATACTGATGATGACTTTTGCTGTCTTTTTGTATACTATCAAATGAATTTTTCTGATTGCTTACAGCACCTGTGTTATCTGATTTCTTGGTCTTCCACAATTTGGTGAACTTTTGAATAAATCCATTCTTTTTCTTCTCTGGACTAGCTATCGAGGCACTTGTGCTCTTATCCATAGAATTACCATCCCCATAATTGATTTGATTCTCTTGAGTAGGTTCTGATTTGTTACTAAACCCACTGACAATCCTGCTTAGTTGAGGTGAATTATTAGGATCCATCAATTGACTGACTCTTCTCGAAGTTGACTCACTGATCCTTAAAACAGACCGGCTTCTTGTTTTGTATTTTTTGAACTCCTTTTTCTTTTCTTTCTCCAATAGTAATTCCCATAACCCACACAATGAATCTGCCTTTTTACTTACCACGCTTTTTTGTAATGCGTGTGTATCAATACCCAGACTCTTGAGTTTCTTTAGCAAATGTTTCTCACTCTTTGAATGAAAGTTCTTTTGTCCGACAATATTTTTCAATAATGTCATTGAGGATTCTAATAAGCTCAACCCAATATTCTCTAAAAATGGGTCGTTCAAAATTTCCAAGCAGGATGGACGTTCACTGGGTACCTTGCTCAACAACCTCCTCATCAATGTGATAGCTTCTTGAGGTATGTCTTCTCTGTAAGGTGGTTCTTCATTCACAATTTTGTAGCCAGTCCTTATTTCATCTTCATCATCAAATGGCATTTGCCCATACAACATTGTATACAAAATGATACCTAATGACCAAATATCAACTTTAAAGCCATCGTATTTTTGTTTTTGAATAAGTTCAGGAGCCATATAGACAGTAGTACCACATACTGTTTCCAAAAAATTTCTTTGTTGACACTCTCTAGTGAACCCGAAATCTGATAATTTTGCATTTCTTCTCTTGTCCAATAATATATTCTCCAGCTTTAAGTCACGATGAATACAATTCAAAGAATGGGCATAGAACACAGCACTTGCTATCTGCGCAAAAAGCTTTTTCACTTCATCTATGGGTACCCTCCCACATGATAGCACATAGTCGTATAGCTCTCTTCCAGGACAATACTCCAAAACCATCCATATTTTACCTTCACAAACAACGACCTCATATAGTCTAGTTATATGTGGATGCTTAAACTGTCTATGATAGTAAACTTCTCGTACCAAGTTTGGATCAGTCTTATCACCTGTCTTTAGTACCACTTTTGTATGTGTCAATCTATGATTCGCTAGATAAACTTTACCAAATGCACCTTCACCAATTAACTTAATTATTGAGTAGTTTCCAACTTCCTTGACCTCATCTGATGAGAATTGGGAATATAACTTGTTGTATGATTCTGCAATTTTAGCCTTTTCATTGTAGGAGTTCCTCATACCATTCATCATTCTTGAATGTAAGCTTGGGATAGAATGCTAATTAGAACGTTAAGTTTGATATTGATCCGTTGAATATGATATGCAAATGAAAATGAACAATTATGATGCTGTTAAATGTGTATATCAGGGCGTTGTGGGTGCCAATTTCACAAAATATGGATATGAATGATATTGCTTCTTGGACCTGAGAGGTAATCTCGTCAGCCACCTTTGAACCAATTTCCAAATGACAACGAAAGAACGGTACTAGATTGACCCGCGCAAGTTATTCACAAACAGGCAGCAGAACAAACGTCAAAACACGGTTACTGTATTGCGAGGAATTCAAAATGTGCCAAACGGGTTTCCAAATGAAACGCCTAATTTTTTTAAGCGATTTGGTGATGATGATCTATTGATTTTTTTGAGTGCTGATTACATAAGAAAATTAATTTGTAGGCAAAAAAAAAGAGTCAGAGAGTTGATCAGATTGGAGATTTGGTTCCAGGATTCAGCAGTCTTTGAGGCCTTGTTAAGCTGTTTCTCATATGAGCTCAGAATATAAGGATACTATGCGTCGTTCATACACCGTATGTGAATCTTTTGGAGCAGAAAGGGGTGAAATCTGAGCTTATCCGATTCCTTTTCCACATGATTGAAAGATAACTAACAGACTTAGGATGCAATCAATGCATTAAACTCCCTCCAGTCCAACTTTGCCACTATAGAGGCCATTAGAAAGTCAGGTATTAACAAAAATGCTATGGCTATGCCAGAAATGCTTGAATGGACCAGAAGAATTGGTTACAAAAGCTCTGATTTCAACAAGTTGAATATTATACATGTTACAGGTACTAAAGGGAAAGGTTCAACCTGTGCTTTTACACAATCTATCTTAGGTCAATATCAACCAAAGATTCAAAAAATTGGTTTATATACTTCTCCACATTTGAAGTCTGTTCGTGAAAGAATAAGGATCAATGGTCAACCTATAGCTGAGGATTTATTCACTAAATACTTCTTTGAAGTTTGGGATAGATTGTCCTCAACCAATTCAAATGAGACTGAGTTCCCTCATATGGGATCAGATATCAAACCAATGTATTTTAAGTACTTGACCTTATTATCATTCCATGTTTTCCTCAATGAAGGTGTCGATACTGCCATCTATGAAGTGGGTGTTGGTGGTGAATATGATTCGACCAACCTTATTGAAAAACCAACAGCTACTGGTGTTTCTGCCTTAGGTATTGACCATACTTTCATGCTTGGTAATACACTTGGTGAAATCGCTTGGAATAAAGGTGGGATCTTCAAAACTGGAGCAAAGGCCTTTACTGTGAAACAAGAACCTGAAGGTATGAAAGTTTTGGAAGAAAGGGCTCAAGAAAAAGGAGTCGAACTGAAGGTCATTGATGAATCTGACGTTAAAGGTCTTGAATTGGGTATCCCGGGGTCTTTCCAAGCTCAAAATGCATCGTTAGCTGTTTCATTGGCCAATGAACATTTAACAAAATTAGGAATCCAAATTGATTCTGAAAAGACTAGAGAAGGTTTGAAAAAAACATTTTGGCCAGGTAGATGTCAAATAATCAAAGAAGACAAAATAACATGGTTTATTGATGGTGCTCATACAAAAGAAAGTATTGACGCCTCAAGTGGATGGTTCAAAACTGCCACAGATCCTACAAAAAAGAGAGTTTTGCTATTCAATCAACAAACCAGGGATGCTAATGCATTGGTTACAAGGTTATTTGACGGTGTTTCACCACTAAAGTTCGATGAAGTTATTTTCACGACCAACAAGACCTGGTCCACTGGTTATTCCAAGGACTTGGTGTCCATGAACACTTCAAAGGAAGCCGTCGACAGCTTAGAAGTTCAAAGATTATTAGCTGACGAGTGGGTAAAACTAGATTCTGATTCCGTGATTAATATATTCCATGATATAGAGGAAAGTGTTGAGTACGTGAGAAGTTTAGACGGGGATGTTGATGTCTTTGTTTGTGGCTCATTACATCTTGTTGGTGGGTTTTTAGTTGTCCTCGATGGTGACAAGGAGTAGATAGTTTAATAGAGAGAATGATAGAGAATAGTTGTAGTTGATTTTTTGAACACTCGGACATAATCGGCCTCATCGCATAATTTCTTCTGGAGTTGAAGCGCGTTTTCAATCAGATGGTCTTTTTTTCGAATCAAAACTACACCAGAAACTAGACAACAAATGAGCTTTAGATTTGCCCTTGAAAGATACATCAAGGATCCTGATAGCCAGGGCGATGCTATCATCTACAAAGATGAGAAGTACGTGGTTATTAAGGACAAGTTCAACAAATCAGTGATCCATTATCTTCTTTTACCACGAGACAAGAATTTAACAAAACTAAATCCATTATCTGCTTTTGAAGATGATATTCTCAAAAAAGAAGTTGAGGAATTGATACGGAAGGTTAAAGTAATGATACTTGAAAGACTACAAAGAGAGTTTGGTATCGAGGAAACAGAAGAATTCATAAAAGTTGGTGTTCATAGTGTACCATCTATGGCAAACTTACACGTCCACCTTCTGACCAAAGATATGAATTCAGAAAGAATGAAGCATAAAAAACATTACAATTCATTTACTACAAAATTTTTTGTGGACTTTGATGAACTTCCTTTGAAAGCTGACGATAAAAGTTCTGAGGCTCATGTCATGGAGAACTTAACAAAGACTTCGGATCTTAAGTGTATCTACTGTGGTGAGAATTTCAGTAACAAATTTGCTCAATTGAAAAAACATTTGACCAAAGAGTTCGAAAAGAAATGCAGATCTAAGAAAAGGAAAATAGAAGTCATTGAGATAGACTAATGAAAAACATCATCTAATTTAGTAATATATATCTGAAGGGTAGCTAAAATACAACACAGCAGCGTCTATAATTTTTCGTACTCTAGTTTACCTTCAAGTTTCTTGGTTTCCGCAACCTTTCTAACAGCTTTCAGTAAATCATTTTGAACAATATAATCACGATCAGCTCTAATAGCGAAGAAACCAGCTTCTGTAACAACATTACGAATATCAGCACCATTGAAACCATCACTCATTTTAACAACAGCTTCAAAATCAAACTCACCTTGTTTTGAAATCTTTTCTGTATGAATTTTGAAAACTTCCAATCTACCAGCTTCGTTAGGTAATGGAATTTCAATCTTTCTATCCAATCTACCAGCTCTTAATAAGGCAGGATCTAAAGTATCTGGTCTATTAGTGGCCATGATAACTTTTGTTTGTCCCAAGTAATCAAAACCATCCATTTGGTTCAATAATTCCATTAATGTACGTTGTATTTCACGATCAGCGGATGTACCTTCAGAGAAACGACGACCACCAATGGCATCAATTTCATCCATGAAAATAATACAAGGTTCATGCTCTTTAGCATAACTAAACATCTCTCTGATCAATCTTGCAGATTCACCAATATATTTATCAACAATAGCGGATGCAGGACTGAAGATGAAGTTTGCACCAATAGTGGCAGCAACAGCCTTAGCTAACAAAGTTTTACCGGTACCTGGTGGACCATATAATAAAACACCTTTTGGAGGTTTAATACCAACTCTTTGAAATAATTCTGGATTCTTTAATGGTAATTCAATAACTTCTCTCAATTCTCTAATTTGTTCACCTAAACCACCAACGGTACCAAATGAAACCTCATCTGGTTTGAAAGTGGTCATATTATAAACTAATGGATCGACTTCTCTTGGTAAGATTCTCATAATTGTTAATGTAGTCATATCTAAGGCGACTCTTACACCTTGTTTTAATTTTTCCTTCTTTATTGAATTTCTGCAATTGACAATATATCTTGGACCTGATGATGCTTTAACAATGAAACGTTCGTCATCCAATTGTTTTAAAACTTCACCGACAACTTGACCAATACTTTGTAATGCCTTAATATCATCTTCTGTTTTTTCATAGTCCTTCTCCAACCCCCGTATGCTGAGTCTCAATTCTTTCAAGCGTGCATCCCATTGTCTATGCTCTAGTAGCTTGTTTTTGAATTTAGTTAATGCTTTTTCTCTAGCTTGTTCTTGAGGAGATGACTCTTGTTGGTTATTATTTGAAGAACTTGCTGATGGATCAGCATTCAATGCTGCTAAAAGTGGATCGTTTTCTTCACTCATTATTGACTTTTTTTGCGTTACTGATGTAGTCCAATTGAACTGGAACAATTAAAACGATTATCAAAACAATTGACTAAACCACCTTGAAACTTGAGCTTGAATTTTGTTTTGTTGTTTTCAAGTGGCAATTTCCTTGAAAGAAATCATAAAATCTCGAAATCGCCAAAGACAAAATCGAGGGTAAATCTATGATCACATGACTTGATTCCGGAACTGAAATTTTCTTGCAAAAAAATCGATTTTAACGATGAGTAAAGAAATCAAAGAACTAGTGAAAGCATCAACTTGTATTTGAAATTATAAGAGAAGATGGAATTTCATGCTGTGATATGCTGTGGAAAAGGTAGTGGGCTAAACCCTCTCTCTATGACCAAGGAAACAGGTATTCCAAAGGCATTGTTACCAATTGGGAACAAACCAATGATCGAGTATGTCTTGGAATGGTGTGATAAAGCCCCATTCAAAGCTGTCACAGTCGTTAGTGATTCAGATAGTAATATTGAAATTACTGCTGTTGTTGAAGCTTACAAATCCAAAAGACCAAAAAATGTCCACAGTCATATTAATATTATAAAGTTTGATGGTGATTCAACTGGTGAAATTTTGGCCGAATTTATTGATAAAGTTAGTGGTAATTTTATTCTTCTACCTTGTGATTTCGTCACTGATTTACCTCCACAAGTGTTGATCGAGGAATTCAGAAATAGAGACGATAATGATATTGCCATGTCTGTTCATTATAACAATAGATTTGAAAGTATAGACAAAAAACACTTCACAAATTATTATACTGTTTATTCGGATGATCAACACTTATTAGATATTTATTCAAAAGATACAGTTGAAGCCTCAAAATTCTTGGAAATTAGAACACAAATGGTTTGGAGATATCCTAATGTCAATGTTTCCACAAAACTCTTAGATTCATTCATATATTTTTTCTCCCCAGAAGCTTTAAAGGTATTGAAAGAGGAAATTGAAGATTATAGAACAAAGTCAATAACCAAAATACTGAGAGATCTCGCACGTCGTTCCTGGAGGCATTCTGTGCCTAAAGGAACCATTAGCTTTTTGGTTTTACCATCACAATGTACATTTGTTAGAGCTGATAATTTACCAGCATATATGGAAGCAAATCGTTACATCATGAAATTGAAAGCTAAACAACAACAGCAACCCGCACAAGCTAAAGAAAAGGGTGCTGCTACTGTCGGTGCTGACTCTGTTGTTGGTGAGAATACAACTTTAGGTGAACGTACCAGTGTAAAGAAAACTGTTGTTGGTAAGAATTGTAATATTGGTAAACGTTGTCGTTTGACAGGTTGTGTTTTGTTGGATGGAATCACGTTAGAAGATGATGTTGTATTGGAAAACTGTATCATTGGTAAAGACTCTATAGTCCATGCCAAATCTAGATTGACAAATTGTAACATAGAGGGAAGTTATAGTGTTTCAAAAGGTTCACAGATCAAAGGTGAAACTTTGACCAACATCTACATTGAGGGCCAACTAGAAGAGTCTGATGAGTCTGAAAGTGACTCTGAGGATTACGACAGTTATGAAGAAGATTTTGAAGACGACTATGAAGACGACGGATTGTTTGAGCGTTAGTTTAATGTACATTTTCTTGCATCTACTATAGTTTATTATGGTGTGTCCCGTAGCGTCTTACCTAATACAAGCCGTTAACCGGCCTGATTTACAAAACTCTGTTGAGCCGCTGACGGATTCACAGAAAAAAAAAGCTGAATCGAATGAATCACCATTCTTAAAAGCGAATAAAGTACAAAACAGAACACATTGGTTAGGTCTCATATAGAGTTGCTTAGAGTCTGATCGATTGCTTTACTAGTGAAAATGGCTGATGCTAAGACTATTGTTCTTGAGAACGTGAGTGTTGTTGTTCTTGCGGATATGGCAATATAGAGATCAAAAAGAAAAAGTCATATCTGGCTTCTAAAGGTTCTGAACAATTACTAACAAGAGTTTATTAGACTGCTCGTAGAGATGTTCTTATTGATATAGAAAAAAAATACCAAAAGATCTGGGCGGATGAAAAGATCTTTGAACTAGATGCTCCTTCTTTAGAAGAAGAAACTGTTGATATTGACATTGATGAATTACACGCCAAGTACCCAAAATTCATGAGTTCAATGGCTTACCCATATATGAATGGTGTTTTACATGCTGGTCACTGTTTTACTTTGTCCAAGGTTGAATTCAGCGTTGGTTTTGAACGTATGCGTGGTAAAAGAGCTTTATTCCCATTAGGTTTCCATTGTACTGGTATGCCAATTGCTGCTTGTGCTGATAAATTAGCTCGTGAAGCTGAACAATTTGGTGATGATTACACTGGAGCTCCACCTGCAGAAGAAGAAGAAGAAGAAGTTGCTGCTCCAAAGCCTCAAGCTAAATCTGAAGATGTCTCTAAATTCAAAGCTAAAAAATCTAAAGCTGCCGCTAAACAAGGTCGTGGTAAATTTCAATTCGAGATTATGTTGCAATTAGGTATAAAAAGAGAAGACGTTGTCAAATTCGCTGATGCAAACTATTGGTTAGAATATTTCCCACCTTTATGTAAAAAAGATTGTGACAGTTTTGGTGCTCGTATTGATTGGCGTCGTTCCATGATCACCACTGATGTTAACCCATACTATGATCAATTTGTCAAATGGCAAATTACTAGGTTAAAAGATATTGGTAGAATAAAGTTTGGTGAAAGATACACTATCTACTCTGAAAAAGATGGTCAAGCATGTATGGATCACGATAGACAATCTGGTGAAGGTGTTACTCCACAAGAATACACCGGTATTAAAATTGAAGTCACCGAATTTGCTGACCCATCGGTTGCTGAAAACTTGGACAAGTCTAAAAAGGTTTATTTGATTGCTGCTACTTTACGTCCAGAGACTATGTATGGTCAAACTTGTTGTTTTGTTTCACCAAAAATTGATTATGGTATCTTTGATAATGGTGATTATTACTTCATTACCACTGAACGTGCTTATAAAAACATGTCATACCAAAAATTAACTCCAAAACGTGGTGATTACGCTTCTGTTGCTGTCGTTAATGGTTCCAAATTAATCGGTTCTAAAATTTCAGCCCCATTATCGATCCATAAAGAATTAAGAGTTTTACCTATGGAAACCGTTCTGGCTACTAAGGGTACCGGTGTTGTCACTTGTGTTCCATCTGATTCCCCAGATGATTACATCACTACAAAGGATTTACAAAACAAACCAGAATACTACGGTATTCAAAAGGAATGGGTTAATGAACCAGTTCCTTTAATTCGTACTGAGAAATATGGTGATATGTGTGCTGAATACTTGTGTAATGAATTGAAAATTCAATCACCTAAAGATGCCTTACAGTTAGCTAAAGCTAAAGAAGCTGCTTACAAAGAAGGTTACTATAACGGTACTTTAATCTATGGTCCTTACACTGGTGAAAAAGTTGAGGTTGCTAAACCAAAAGTTAAAGCTGATTTAATTGCTGCTGGTCAAGCTTTCTCCTACAATGAACCAGAAGCTCCAGTTGTTTCACGTTCAGGTGATAGCTGTATTGTTTCCCTAGAAGATCAATGGTATGTTGATTATGGTGAAGAATCATGGAAAGCTGACGCATTAGAAGCTTTACATGACATGAACACATTCACCACTGAAACTCAAAATGCTTTTGAAGGTGTTTTAGATTGGTTAAAGAACTGGGCGGTTTGTCGTACTTATGGTTTAGGTACTAAATTACCATGGGATGAAAAATACCTTGTTGAATCATTATCTGACTCTACCATTTACCAATCGTTTTATACCATTTCACATTTATTGCATAAGGATTTCTATGGTAGAGAAGAGGGTGAGCTTGGTATCAAAGCTGAACAAATGACCAGTGATGTCTTTGATTACATCTTTTTACGTAAAGAAGACATCAAAACTGATATTCCAATTGAGCACTTACAACGTTTAAGAAGAGAATTTGAATATTTCTATCCATTAGATGTTAGTGTTTCTGGTAAAGATTTAATTCCAAACCATTTGACCTTTTTCATTTATTGTCATACTGCTCTTTTCCCAAAGAGATACTGGCCACAAGGTATTCGTGCTAATGGTCATTTGTTATTAAACAACAACAAGATGTCTAAATCAACTGGTAACTTCATGACTTTGGAACAAATTGTTGAAAAATTCGGTGCCGATGCCTCTCGTATCGCTTTAGCTGATGCTGGTGATACCGTTGAAGATGCCAATTTTGAAGAATCAAGTGCTAATGCTGCAATTTTGAGATTGACTACTTTGAAAGAATGGTCTGAAGATGCTATCAAGAGAGTTGATACTTTTAGAACTGGTGAATTTGACTTCTTTGATATTGCGTTTGAAAATGAATTGAATGAATTGATTGAAGAAACTTACAAACAATACGATGAAAGTAATTACAAAGCTGCTTTGAAAACAGGTTTATTTGATTACCAAACTGCTCGTGATTACTACCGTGAAAGTTGTGAAGTTATGCATCGTGATTTAGTTTTACGTTACATTGAAACTCAAATTTTGTTATTAACTCCAATTGTTCCACATTTTGCTGAATATATTTACCGTGAAGTTTTAGGTAAAAACACAACTGTTCAAGATGCTAAATTCCCAAGAGCTACCAAACCAGTTGATTTATCAATTTCTGAAGGTTTAGAGTACATTCGTTACTTGACTCGTTCAATTCGTGAAACTGAAGGTGCTCTGATGAAGAAAAAGAAAGGTAAACCATCCGAACTTGATTCTTCAAAACCAGTTAAGTTAACCATCTTTGTTTCTGAATCATTCCCAGAATGGCAAAATAATTATATTGAATTGGTTCGTGAACTGTTTGAAAAACAATCATTAAATGATAACAATGTTATCAAGCAAAAGGTTGGTAAAGATATGAAACGTGCTATGCCATTCATCAGTAACTTGAAACAACGTTTAACCAAAGAATCACCATCTGTTGTTTTCAACAGAGAATTGAATTTCAGTGAAGTTGAAACCATTAAGAATGCTCTTGACAATATCAAACGTGCTTCATCAATTGTTAAAACTAAAGAAGTTCAAGTTGTTTCATTCAAAAACGGTGCCAGTAAAGGTAAAGATGTTTTAACTGGTGAAGAAGTTCCAATCTTGATCACTGGTAAAATCATCGATAGTGCTGTTCCAGGTCAACCAGGTCTTCTGATGACAAACATTGATTAGGTTGAGTACTCAATCTTTTCATTGGATAAATTTATTATAAATAGCTTAGAATTTTTTTTTAATATTTGATATATAAGTATTAATATTGTATGTAGTGAATATTACTCGATAGTTGTCTCAAAGATCGGTTAATTCCGCTTACAATTGACAGAGTTGACGCAGGCTATTTAAATTCCATCTCTCTGCAAACTAGGGTGCGGAACGTATACTGTATACTCAACAGAGATCTCTTAAGCAGTTGGATCTCTGAATATGGCCTAGTTTCTTGACGAATAGGTGAAACGAAATTAGCGAGTCCGCGAAATTAACCAGCACTTAATTCTTTGCAGCCCCGAACAGAAATTAAGAAGTGCTTACAAAAATTGGTATGGAAATTAACGAGTTCTTCTTAAATACTCCTTAGTTAACGAGTACTTGCTGAAGAAGTGCCAAACTTAGGAAGTACTACTCCACTATGACTTGAAATTAAGAAGCACTACCACATTATGATCCAGGATTAAGAAGCACTACCACATTATGGCTTGAGATTAAGAAGTACTACCTATTGATGAGTATATTACACGCAACTTTAAAGGTTGTAAATGATGATGATGAATATGTATCGGTCTAAGCTACATGAATGAACAAAGTGTTTTAAGCCAGCGCGTTGAGCAGCTCCTAATCTCCTATAATATTCTACCCTTATTTGCAGCACATTTGGTTAATTGATATATGTGAGCTCTTAGCTCATAGTTAATTGCGAAAGCATTTACATTATTGAACATAAATGACTAGTAAAATTTACCCAAAGCCTAAAAAGGATATAGTTGATGACTTCTTAAACAGCTATCTATAAATGAATTATCTTGAAAGAGAAGAGCTAAACATTGTTTATATATGTTGCAGTCAATTGGATTCTGTCTTATAATCAGGATAGTCAATGTATCCAGTAGGACCTGGAGTAAAGAAAGTATCTCTGTTATACTTATGTAGAGGCAGATCATTTTCCAATCTATTTGCCAAGTCAGGGTTTGAAATGAAGATTCTCCCATAAGCAATAACAGTTTTATCATATGAATCAACATCACGGGAAGCCTTTTCATGATCATCAGTATAATTTCCGGCTCTTATAATGACACCTTTATATATTTGCAGAATCCAATTATTATCTTCAAAATTGTCCTGAGTTCTTGGTTCAATGATATGCAAATATGCAATTTCTTTCCCTTGTAACCTTCTTGATTCTAATTCACTTACCAAGTAGGAGTAGACTGCAATAGTACTTGGCTCAAAGAAATCACGATCCCCGTGAATATAGTAAGGAGACAATCTTAAAGAAACTTTTGAGTAGCCAATAGCTTCTCCAACGTTATCAATCACTTCTAATATTAAGCGTGCCCTATTTTCAATTGATCCTCCATATTCATCAGTACGTTTGTTCAAGCTACTGTACAGGAACTCAAAGAGTAAGAACCCATTAGCACCATGGATTTCAACACCATCAGCACCTATTTCAACTAAATTCTTAGCACTTGTGACAAAGTCATTGACCAACCCTTTAATTTCAGTAGTTGTTAAACCATGAGCCAAATTTCCAGACTCTTTGGCCAATTGTTCCTGTTGTGCATCAATATAAACATCATCACTTGGAGCTGAAAATTTCAAACCTTTGGAAGCCAATTTGGCAGGATCTGCTAACCCACCCAAGGCACAGATCTGGATAAACATGAATGAACCATTTGCATGAACAGCTTTCAAAATACCTTCCCATGCCTTCAATTGCTTTGGAGTGAAAACACCAGGTGGAACAAACATACCGGCTGGTTCCAAGGAGATGATAGTTCCTTCCGAAATGACTAAAGTACCAGGTCTTTTGGATCTTTGGCTGTAGTAGATACTTGCTAGCTCATTTGGAACAAAATCCTCATCGCTACGATTCCTGGTCATAGGAGCTAAAGCAACTCTGTTTAATAGTGTAACATCACCAACTTTCAAAGGTTTGAACAAGTTTGTATCACGAAGATTATACGATTGAACCATGTTTGACTTTCACAACTCAATTGATTCTGGAGAACCTTATAGCAATAGCATGCTGAATTTAGAGGGTTCTCATGGGCTTTATATCCCTAGAAATGGCACCAGTCTGTATAGCTGTATTGGAATCTTGAACACTGTATCCTTGGTTGGTTTCATGAAGTGATTACTAAAATCTCATCTTTAAATCCGTCTTCAAGCCGTCAAGATACCATAAGCAAATGAGCTCTCATAGAAAGTTGTGAATATCTTCGTTCTCTTTCTTGTTATTCAAAGCTATTGTTGATTTCTGATCTTGGATCTTCTTTTAGGGCCTAATTTAGAGGATTTGTAGTACAATCGAAGTGTAAAAGTAGATTTGATGTTGACTTGCCTAATTATTCAGTAGGATCCAAAGGGGTATGGTTTGTGCCCCGATCACCCAGTCTAATAATTGGACTCAAGATTAAAGCATAGTTGAACGTTCAGCTAATCAACTAAAAGAATATGGGATGAAGAGAATGGAATAGGTGAACTCAGGTTGAAGCTAATAAGTGGCCTATCCAATAATAGGATATATGTTCTCGTGAAGTATTACTAGTCAGTATTGATTTTAGCACTTTATAGCACGCGCCACACTTTGAAGTTTGATGCCAAAGACCAAACATCGGTTTAATTACTGGAAATGGTGGATTATCCTTTGAGAAACTATAAGGTGAATGTTCAAATAACTGTGTCAACTTGATGTTAATTGTGGCAGAACGTTATGCTGCTTGTGTATATAAAGGGGTGAAGAATCATGATTGAAGGTAAATGACCATTGTTGTACTTGTAAGGAATCACAGAAGACATGACAAAAGATTCTGATTTAATTGAGTTTGGACGCCCTTTGAGAGAGAAGTACTTCTCACACGTTAATCCTGAAGCTTACTTGATCAATAATGGTGCTTTCGGTTTAGCTCCATTACCAATACTTGAATCATTACAGAGACATACTTTACGTGATTATTATTGGCCTGATGCTTATAGAAAATTTGAATATCGTGATGATTATGATGATTCTGCAAAAGAAGTTGCAAAAGTCTTGAACACAGATTATAGAAATATTGCACTAGGTTTGAATGTTACTACATTGATCAATGCTGTTCTAAGATCTTTCAAATTTGAAAAAGGTGATAAAATTTTGGTTCAATCAAACACTTATCCTGCCATTTTGAAAACGGTTAACTTTGTTGCTAAACAGAATGAATTGGAAGTTGTTAAATTTGATTTGAACTACCCACTGAGTGATGATGAAGTTGTTTCAAAGTATGAGGATGAATTATCCACAAACAAAATCAAGATTGTTTTGATTGATACAATCAGCTCCAAACCTGGTGTCAGAGTCCCATTTGAACGTTTGATTAAGCTGGCTAAAGAGTACGATGCCTTATCATTGGTTGATGCTGCTCATGGGATTGGGTTATTGGATATTGACTTGGATGAATTGAAGCCGGACTTTTTAGCTACAGATCTTTACAAGTGGTATTATACTCCAAAGAACTCTGCAGCTCTATACGTTGATCCTAAGCATCATAAAGCTATCCACTCTTTACCTATCTCTCATTTTTACGTGGATGGTGATCAAGTCTTGAAAGAAGAGAAGGAACAGACAAGATTTGCAGATCAGTTTAATTTTATTGGTGCTCAGATAACTGCTTCGTTGGTCACAGTCAAAGATGCTAGCAAGTTTATCGAAGAGATTGGTGGCTTGCAAAGGGTCAAGGATTACAACTTCAGATTAGCTAGAGAAGCAAGTGAAGCAGTAGCAAAGCTTTGGGGAACTGAAATCTTGGAAAATGATGAAAAATCTTTACTAACTTCATTGTTCACTGTTGAATATCCGGTTAAAGAAGGCGTTCTTATTAGAGAAGAGGATTGGGAGAACTTGGAAAAATACATGTTGATTAGACAAACTATCGAAAAGAAGTTGATCAAAGAATACAAGTCTGTTGCTCCAATTTTTCTACATAATGGTAAGATTTGGATTAGATTCAGTGCTCAGATTTATTCAGAATTAAATGATTATATAGAAGGTGCAAAACTTCTTGAAAAAGGTGTCGATGAGTTCTTTGCAAGTGAAGAGTACAAGAAGTTGATTGCTGATTGAAGGTTTTTCCTGTATAACACATAGACAGCTATGAAACCTTCTTTGAAAGAAGAATCTGGAAGTGCTTGCAGCGGACCAGTATGTTGTTTGTTGTTTAATAATTTGATATTCTAAACCACCTGAAATAAACATGTAGAAGGCCTTTCAAGTATACAGCCACAACCCTCTAACTGTCCAATTAGTTGAGGTTCCAATTCTCAAAGCCACCTTGTTATCCTCAACTCCTATCTAAAAGGTGGTCTTTTATCTTTGACAGGACCACCAACTTTAACCCTTTTACCAACGGGTATCTTACTATTATTTTTTCCTTGGTTTGCAGTAGATGCACCAATGGTACTCTGTCTCTGTCTTGCAGTGGTGCTGGTGGTAGCGATCCCAGATCTCTGCTGAGGTTGAGATGGTAATATTGAATTTCTAGGTTGTACCACGAAACTTCCATCATCGTCATTCGTCATATATGTATCATCACCAACATTGGTATTCGAATTGATGGGAACTTCTCTTTCATTCAGTATCGATTCAAGTTTTTCAATTTTTTCATTGATACCAATAACTTTCTTAAACTCTTTGAAATTTGTAGGCACTTCGTTAAATTCAGTAACGTAAGCATTCACTTGAAGTGCGTATAAGAAACTTGCAAAACTTTCATTGAAACTGTTTAGTGATTCGTGGATCTGTTGTATCTGTTGGACATTGGAGTCTAGGTCCACTAAAGAATCATTCAATTCTATAAATTGGGATGATAAATCATCTACTGGTGTTTTGTCCAGTTCAATAGGATAATGGACTCCCGGAGATATTGGAAGTACGTTGGATGGACGTGATAAACGATGTGGTGTAGTGGATCTTGATGGTTTCTTTGACATGGTCCCTATTTTGTAAGCTTTTGGTTAAAAATGTTGTTTTGTTTTGTTTTGTTTTCGATGTTTATGTTTTTTTCTTCCTGCACTTCGCGAACCCCATTTTCGCGACTCAGACGCGTTTTTGGCTACAACCGATTTTGAATATACATCGTGAATTTAAACATTTGTATGTACAGGAAAGTGGAGTTATTTTGCTTAAGTATATCTCTTTGCATGCTCCAATTTGGCCTTTGTCGGATCCATTTTTGGTTTCTTCTTGAACACCAAAAACAACAGAATGGAAGAAGCAAAACTTAACCCGTACCAAGTAGCAAGGTATTGTAAGTGGTTATTTCTGAAATCAATACTAGCTGGTCTACCAAGTGGAACACCTGCTTTTAGCAATTGATATGGACTGAACTCTTGGATATCACTAGGATCATCAACTTTCTTCAGTTGTGTTTCTTCATGTGTTTGAGCTCTACTCCATATTTTCCACCATGGTTTATCCTCTTTAACAATCTTAGTCTCCACTGGATAATCCTTCAAATCAATTAAAGCTTGAACATGAATTGGGGCACATCCAGTAGCTTCAGTCATTTCAGGAACATCAATAACATGCCAAACTCTTGAATCTGGGTCCAATTTACTCAACACTAAATTTGATTTCTCATTAATCTTCTTCAAGATGACTTCCACAGTGACTTCATGCATTGGTAATGATAAATGCTTCAATTTTCTTCTTGGTGGTAAGATATTTTCATCAGTGATAAACCCTCTTTCAATCAAAATTGGTTCACCCCCATCTGATCTAATTAAAGGAGTAAAAACCTGATAACCTTTTTCACCGTTCCTAACTTTAGGACCAACAAAGATTTCCTTAGAATGGTCATATTTACCGGTGACTAGATAGCGTCTATATTGTAAATCTTCAGCATCATCAGGGTTGATTTTCTTTGGTAATGGAATTGGAGGATATGTTAATTTATCTTCACTTGATGCAATTAAGTTATTTTTCCATTTTAATCTTTTCAATTGCCAAGTACCCAAATAAAAAGTGACTAAGGGCATCGCAATCAACAATGAAAGGAAAATGTATCTAGTAACTGAAGGTTTTGGTTTATCATTATCTTTACCTTTAATAGGCTTCCAATCAAATGAAGAGTGAACATTTGTACGACGAGCCAATAGTTGGTGACGTTGTAAATTGGCACGTACTATAGCGTGTGGCCGTAGTGCAGTTGGCAGTAATAGCCTTTTTGAAAGCATATTCAATTTATTTCAAAGAATTTTCCAGACTCGAGATCTTGGTTAATTGATAATCGTTTCCATATTGATTTTTTTTGCTGTTGTACGTTTTTCGCGAAAGTGTTATTGACACTGAATACGTTGGCAGGAATTTCATAGTTATGAAAGCTTCAAGTGCAAATAGAATTGAGGTTTTCCCTGAAAATTCAATCAAAAGTCAATATTCCTTAATACATGATACTCAAATTATTACATAAATACCTCCTTGAAGTACTAGAGCTTCCTAGAATGACAAAACCATAATATTGGTCAAAAATGCGAAATTGAAAGATGCAAAAAAAGTATTTAATTAAACAACATAGCAAAATTATTTGAGTAGAAAATGCAAAAAAAGGATTTTAATAAGCCAGGCTCAATCCAAGTCGTTAAACCCACGATCCCGTAACTGTCGCACAGTCCAAACCCAATTATAAGCAGCATTATTTATATCTGAAGCAACCCTACTGGGGCTTGTCAAGATACCACCAGCTTTGAAATAACTTCCATTCTCTTCTAGTAATGTTTCATTTGACAAAGCACATTTCAAAGTGGCATAACAACCTTCTTCATTTGAACAACCAAAGAAAAATCCAAAAACTTGGAAACAAAACCAAAAGAAAACGCCTATAATGGGCAGTCTTGTCCAATAACTAAACAAATTTGTATTCATGACAAAGCCTGGATGTACTGAATAACAATGAATATCTGGATTTTTCAATGCTAATAGTTTCATATATTGGATACCTGATGTCTTGGCCATGGCATATCTGAACCAAGTGAAGATTATATTTGGTTTGTAATTGAAATTCCAATCCCTGTTGAATCTGAACACTTCAAAATGATGACCCACTGATGAGACAAATATTATTCTTCCTTTAATCAATGGTAATAATCTTTGAGTTAATAAAAAATGTGAAACATAATTTGTTTGAAATTGTACTTCGAAATTATCCTTTGTCAAAGCAAATGGCAACGCCATAACACCAGCATTCAACACCAATAGGTCAATTTGAGGCTCAGTGGCTCTAATCACTATAGATGCAGCTTCAACAGATTTCAAACTTAACAAATCAATCTCCACAAATCTTAATTCACCAAGAAATCTTTGATTTAGATCATTCTCAACAACTGTGCTTCTTCTTCTAATCGCCTCTGCTTCAATCTCTTTAATAGATTTACTAACCCTAGTGAAGCTTCTACCTCCAATATAAACCACAAATCCATGTAAATAGAAATGTAAAACGGTATACCATCCAATACCACTGTTCCCACCTGTGACTAACGCCACTCTGCGCTCTTCTCTGGGATTGGTATAGGGTAAGTCATCTGGATTAAAGTCCATGATGCTCTTGAATATGAAGAAGGTTCAACACTGGTTGGATTTATTATGGGGAGTGGATTGCGATGAGAGGTTTGTTTGATGGCTTATACTTTTTGTTTTCGTTTCATTTTTTTTTTTTAATTTTTACTCATCATAGCGAAAAATTAGGCTGATGATGAAACATCTTGTTATTGATGTCAAGCAAGACAATATCACCAGTAGAGAAGCTAAGAATATCAAAATTTGAGATTAAAAGTGCTAGATTACATGAAAACGATTTGAAAACTACTAATAAGCCACCCCAATCATGAAAAAATATACATTTCTAAAAATATTTCTTTATATTTTGGTGATCATATTTACAAGTGTAGTCTCTTATTTTCTCATTTCTTCATAGTTTTGAAACTTCCTCAAATTGTTTAGCTTTAACTTTTTCGTGTTCTCTAATCTTTGCACCCAAGAATGCCTTCATTTCATCAGTAATATTAACCTTTGGTAATTTACTCAACTCTCTCTTTTCCTTCCAGTATGCCTTTCTTGTTTCTGATAATGGCATACTTGGTGGTGTCAATCTCTTGACATCCAATTTAGTCAATTTGGCACGTCTGTATTTAGAATGTGGGTTTCTTATTGTGAGTAGAGCATCTTCTGGGATTGAACTTTTAACAGCTGATTCAACGAAATAAGTACGTTCTCTAACGTTATCAACCTCTGTGCATAATTGGCCCTCCTCTTTTGGATCAGGTCTTGGATATGGGATATGTAGGTCATTTTGACCTTTGACTGTTCTATATTTCAGCACTTTTTTATAATCTTCATCATAATATTGGCCTTTAAATTCTAAATTTTCAACTGCAACAGTCTTCATTTGACCAGTTTTTTCATCTTCAATCTCTGCAACTAATCTCAAGTTGTCACCTGAAACGGCTCTTGGGTATGTGACAATATGAGATTTTTGACCTTCTTGCCAAAACATTTTTGGAATTGCAACTGTATTTGTTGGTCCATTTTCATCCAATATATAACCATTACCTTCAACATGACGACTCACTTTACAAATACTACCCTTTTTAGGACCTTTGACAATCATTACTCTATCACCAACTAGGTATTTCAATTTTGAGAAATCAGTTGGAATGGAATTATCAGCTTGAATATCTATTTTAACATCAGGTCTTAAAAATGGTGGATGACTTTTATTTTGAAGTTTTTCATATTGACCAAGTCTAAACTTTGGGACTCTTTTAAGATTCAATTTGAATCTTTCACCAGCCTTGGATAAGAATGACATGACGAATTATGAAAAGTTTAAATATAAAGAAAACTGAGATGATATCTGATCAAGTATTTCATCAAAATGATTTTCTCGAGTACATTTGAATTTTTCAACAACTGAAAAAAAACTGGCCTGTATTACATAATCAAAAATCGCGGAAAAAAGATCAACACAGGGTAATAAACTGAGACTTCGCGGCGAAATCTCAGATTTGACTGAGAAGGCATCAAATTACAACCTCAGTAAAATAACAACTTGATTCGTGTGACTACGTGCTAAAGATTTTGATGTTAAATGATAAATGATGTATTGCTAGATTATTGTGAGATCTTATCAAAAGGATCTCACTAATGAGTCTAATGCACCATTTGGTGATACAAGATTGTCATATTCATTTTCAATTGGGCCTGCTAAGAAGAAACCACGGATTGAATTGTAGTGACTGAGCTTGTAAGGATTCCTAAGAATCTATTTGGGAGGTCAATTATAAACCTTTTCATTAACCAGCGCTTTAAATACAATGGTTCACTAACGCTCTTCACTTAAACGATCGGCTAACATCAAATTTAGCCATAGAACATTTAATTTGCCTGGTGATCGTAAGCATTATTATTGATTATTCCCTGTTGTCTTTTTATACTTTTCCCAAACATTAAGCGCCGAGATTGCACAGGCTAAATGAGAGGCACGTGATCTGTCAGTTAAAGAATGCTATCCAGTAAATACAAAGAAGATCACGCTTAAATTGGTAGAGCGCTTATGTGTTGAGTGATTCCGTAATTGAATCGATTTGGCTACATGTATTGAATAACTTGAAAATGATCTGGTGAATAGATTAAAAGCAGTGATTATCCCAAATTGACTTGCAATACTAACCTATTCAACGCATATAAATGAAGTTCACCAATGGGCTCTAGACTGGTATTATGAATACCATGTTTAAAAAGACACCACTGTTCACGAAGTTGGTGGATCACGACTGAAAGGTTCACCGAACGAGTAACTCAAATATAGAAGCCCGGAAAGATTATTTCCTTTCTGATAAGTGGATTGCTCATATCATAGTTGTTTCTATTTATATGTAAGCAGAAAAAGTTTTAAGGTAGAGGCCAGAAAGTCTAAAGGAAAGAAGAAAGAAACAGAAAACGTCGAAATATATATCATCCACAACGAAGTTAGCCGCCAGGAAATGACACAAAGCCAAACAAATCCAATTGCCTAATCCAGTAGTTTCTAATTCTGTAAAAAGAAAAACAAATTACTCAACGTTCTTATTATAACCAGTTTATATTATACAGCCAGTGCAATCTCAAGCAATGGGGCTCCTCTCAATTATCAGTACATATGCTTATGAACTCTTCTTCATTGACTGTCACATCTAGTTAGTATATCTTATCTTCACCAAAAAAACAACCATAATACTCACTTTCACCATCATTATCCAAATCAAACTCATCAATCATAGCTCTTAGCTCATCATCTGTCAAGTTTTCACCCAACTCTTTGGCAACTCTCCGTAGGTTACGTAGACTTATTTTCCCTGTATTATCATCATCAAATAATCTAAAAGCACGACGAATCTCTTCCAATGGATCTCTATTCAACACTTTTTCACCCACTGATTCCCATAGTGTTAGTAGCTCATAATTTTTCTATCATACCGCTGGCTTTGAGTACTTACTTATAGCAAAGAAATCTTCATAATGCATTTGATTTCTATCATCTCTGTCAAATTCATGTATGAGGTCCAAAACTTCCTGTTTGGAATAATCAAATCCTAAGGCTCTAATAGCAACCTACCCCCAACAAGTTAGTCACATAATAACAATCACTTCAAATCACTTTCAACTCACTTTCAATTCATGATAATCTAAATACCCATCATTATTCATATCAAACAAGTTGAAAGCTTCCCTGATCTCTTGTTTTTGCTCTTCGAGTAATTCCTTTTTCAACTGTGATGGAGCACGTAATGACGCACCTGTTTGAATGTTTCCTCCTCTTCTTGGAATGGACATGTTTGATACCTATTTTCTTCCCAGTTGATCTGGTTTGTTGATTAAGGAAACGCGTAAATAAAAAAAAACCTGAACCTCATAAAAAAATTGGCTGGTGTGGCGCGTAACATCGATTTTTAAATGTAAACAAAAAAGTGATTGATCAAGTTTTCTTTCCTTCTTAGTCGTTCTTTGATTCGATTAACGTTGTTGGGGGAAAATGATAAATGTTGGCTCAAGGGTATTGTTCAAAGGTGAGCCAGGCGTTGTGAGGTTCGTTGGTGAGACTCAATTCGCCCCCGGTGTTTGGATAGGTGTTGAATTACAAGAAGCTAATGGTAAAAATGATGGGTCTGTTAATGGTGATCGTTATTTCCAATGTCTTGATAAGCATGGTGTCTTCGTAAGGGAAGGTGTACTTGAGGTGGTTGATAATGATGATAATGAAGCGTTACAAGTTGAGAAAGTGAGAGATGGTGGTTCCAGAAATGGTTCAAGAGCTCCTTCAAGAATTCATTCAAGGTCATCTGATGTTGGTTCTGATGAGACATCGAGATTGAAATTGATTATACAAAAGCTACAGGATAAATTGCTGGTGATGAGGTCTGATATTGATAGATTGAAGAGTGAGTTGGAAACCAGTCATTCTCAAAATACAGATATGGAAGATAGGCTCTTGAAAGCAGAGGAAGATCTTGAATTATCAGCAATTGATAAAGAAACTCTTGAAGAGCAGAATGAACTATTTAAACAAGAGATTCAAGCTTTAACAGAACAAAATAGAAGTATATTAGAAGAGATCAAGTCATTGAATAATGAACTAAACATAGGCGCCAACATCAAAGATTCTTCATTAATGAACGAATCAACTGATTCATTGATCAAAAGAAACGCACTACTTGAAGAAGCATTGATCAAACTTAGAGATCACACGGATAATGAGAAAAATTCATTAATGCAAAAAATCAACCATCTAGAGAGTAAATTACAGCCATTATCAAATATTGAACTTCGGTATAATGAAACTTCTCAAAAATTAAAAGATGCAGAAATAATCATTGCTGATTTGAGAAACCATATTGAAACGTCAATCCATTCTACAGAGATTATTGAAAGATTAACAGATCAAAACAATACCTTATTAGAAGAAAATCAAAAATTGAAATCATCAGTTAAAGAATTGGAAGATTTGAGGAAAGTTGATGAAGAAATTGAAAGGTTCCATGTTGAAACTGAATCACAATTACAACAGGAACTTGATGATTTGAAAAAATACTTGAATAATGAAAAACAAGGCGTTTCTTCTCTTGAAGAGAGGAATAAAAAACTTTATCAACTAGCACAAGAATTACAAACAGTTATCACAAATCTTCAAAAGACTCAACCTCCGAAATCATTAGATCCAATTGAGAAACTAACCACCACATCACATCACAATATAGACTTGGAACTCAAGTTGAAGATTCTGAAGGCTGAAGTTTCTTTCAAAAATCAAGAATTGGAACAGATTGAAAAAAATTATGGTAAATCAGAACAATCATCATTGATTAAAACGATGATATCACTTCAAAAATATTCGGAAATCTATCAAATTCTTGCATCATACATAACTGTTGAATCGAATGATTTATTCATCAGTCTCCTTAGTGTTCAATTGAAACTTTCCTTGATGCAATTTTCATCATTCTTGAAATATTCTTCCTCAAAATGTGAACATTTCATAACTTATAAAGAGATTAAATTAGTGGACCTTGAAACCATTACTGAAAAATTGACTAATAATATAATTGATCAAGATTTCAGAGATATACCTGATTTAAATGAACTTGGATTGAAAATTGCTCAACAGTATGATGATATTGAATCCGTTTTTGAGAATAAGTTCAAGCTGAAGTTTCAAGTAGAGCAAGAGGTTCAATGCATGGATATTCTACTGCTGTTGATTGATTTGTTGAATAGTGAAGCAGGAAAGAATCAATATGTTATCCCAATCCAGGATTTGAACCAACTGTATCAATTGACAAACGCAAGGAAAATAAAGTTGGAAGCATTATTAAACAAGTTGGAAGCGGTTGAGGAAGATATTTCAAAATCTAGCATCTCTTCGATATCACCCAATTTGAAAGATTTTATTGAACTTTTGAAATCAGAAGCTACAATCTTGAGCACTGAAAAGATGGAGATAAGTACACAAGTTGATGCACTATGTGAAATATTGCAAAACCATAGTAATCAAGAAGTTGAATGGGAAGTCATCTCCACAAATAATGATTGGTTTTTGAAAAATATTGAGAAAAATGGTTATGCTTCACAAGAATTTGAACATTTACAGCATGAATTAGAGGTTTCAAAGCATGAAATTGAGAAAAAAGATAAACAAATTGAGGAAATCACTTTAAAAGTTGATGTTTTGAATTCAAGATTAATGATCACAAAAGAAACAGAGACCCAATTGAGGAAATTCAAACAAGATGTTGCTTCATTATCCAAAGAGAAAGATGAACTAAATAAACGGGTCAAAGGTTTATTAGACTCAAATCATCAACTTACTTCAGAATTGCACAAGGCAAAAGATAACGCACTACTACATAACTCTCAATTTGAATCATTACTTGAACAGAAACAATATAATGAAAAGGCAGAATTGGTATCGGAACTCCATTCATTAAGAAAAGTTGTTAGAACATTAACCAAAAGACATCAACCTGATAGAACTTGGTTGAGAACTGAATTGCCGAAACGGAAACCATTTGAGAAAACAGAAGCTGATGAATTGAGATTAATAGCAAGAGACTTACAAAGAGCTGTACTAAATGCTAAAGTTTATTCAGTTTGATGACTTTTTTTCCTGCACCTTGTTTTTCCTTGGCCATTTTTTGGCTATATCAATATTTTCTCTTGGATACCACCATTCTAATAATGCATACAAGAAAATATCCACTATAAAGCATAATACAAAAAGTTTACCAGCCCATGCCCCACATTTATAGTATTTCCAAAATTGTTCCAATGTAGTTAATTTATAATCCTCATCAATCGAATCATAAACATTTTCTGTTCTCATTGCAACATCTTCCCAACCATACATGGTTTTCACTTCATCGTGAAATTTGGAAGTATTCACTCTTCGTTCCTCAATTAATTTTATAGCCCTTAATGTACTCTCAACTAATGAATCCACTGCAGGATTGGCAAAGATTGTCATATCACTAGGCAACACTTCTGGGATACCTCCAACCCTAGTTGTAACCACCAATAATCCACAAGAAGCAGCTTCAACTAATACTGTTCCGAAAGCTTCAGTTAGTGAAGGATGTAAATAAATATGACCTTGCACCATAACATCTCTAACTTTTTCATGCTTGACACCACCTATAAGCTCTACTCTATCCTGTAATCTGTTTTTTTCAATAGTTTGTTGTATGTCAATAAATTTCGGGCCGTCACCTGCAACTAAGAAATTGACATTTGGATCAGCTTGACAAATTTTGGGTATCATCCCAGCTAGTAAATCTGCGCCTTTATTAGGGAACAATCTTGAGATAACCACTATAGTGATCCTGTTTTTTTTAGGTGCTGATGGGTCAGGTAAGAAATCACTTGATATAACAGCATTGGGTATAACTGAAACTAATAATGGATCTATAGCACCACGTAAAACAATATTTTCCTTACAAGTATTTGAAACACAAATAACCCTATCTGTGCAGCATGATGTGAATTTCAAGGCTTTATTACCCAATATACTTCCAGTATCTGCAAATCCATACAATGAATGATCAGTCAAAACTGTCTTTAATCCCATTATTGAACCATGGAAAACAGCCTCATGAGCCAAACTACTCATTGAAGCATGGCCGTGTACTATATCTATTGATTCTCTTATGAATATGTTTCTCAATATGGGGAAAGCTGAAAACACAGTTGGGAAAGTTGTTTGTCTATAAAACACTAGGAATGGGATATAGTAAACTTTCAACCCATTAGTCAATGTCCTCACACCACGTCTTGAATTGTATGAATGTGTTATTATGACCACTGAATGACCTCTTGCTATTAGTTTCTGTGTGGTTAGAATGGGTAAGCTTCGCTATTGTGATAAAACATTCAACATACTTGAGATAAATGATACATATGGAACTCAACACCGCCTGGTTGAGGGTAGAAAAAATCACACACCATCCTGAAAATGATCATTAGTAAGTAAATCCTTTTCCTCATCAATCTCAATGGCATCCATACGCTATATTATAAGGCATTTTGAATCCTTTTAATGGTCTAATCACTATTGATTGTTTATTCTTTTTGGGTTTAGTGAATTTGTGGTTTTTTTTTTCGCGAAACGTCCAAATCGGGACGTTCAAACGCTTCTAACCATTTGACACATACAAAAAAGGAGTTCAGTAACTTTTGCCAGTCATACTATTGAGGTTAGAAACCACCGAAACAAATGCTTATCCATTGTCTATGATTGCTTAAAACCCAATATTACTTCAAGCTCAGGCGAGCTATGACATAAGTGCCCATCTTCAGTTGGGTGGCTTGAAGATCATGGTCTTACCTTCTTTCACCGGCTTTGCTTGATTATCTCATTGACCAATAGCTTCAATTTCACAATTAAGTATCAATCCAAATCCATTCAAATTTGTTTCCCCCTGTGGTTCATGGCTCTTTTCATAACTTCTCTTTTTGCTGGTACAGATGATGTCACGGGACCAGGAATGGTTATAAAAGAACAGAGATCAAAATTAGATCAAGAAGTTTCCTCAGCGGCTAACAAAACAACTTGTTCTTCAACAACACCAAAGGCCAGAAAAGGTACTTGAATCCTTTGCAAGAGATGGTTATAAAACATTTGTGGGGGAAGAACCCTGAGGTTGATCCAAGCGTCCATGTTGATGTTGTTCACTGCCATGGAATCATCAAAGGTGACTCAAAGAAATTGCTCTTTAGAGATTATACAAAGTTTCTTGAATTTATTCTTGTTTTGTTCCATTTCGTTTCCGTCTTGCTACTAATTGCTGATTTTATTTGGAAGCTGTCAATAATTCGTTCATGTTGGAAACCATTCTATGTTCAAGGGGAACTTTGGGGGACGTTTAAATTCGTGTTGAATTTTGAAGTTTTAATTGCAACGTGGTATTTTGTTTACCCATACGTTCTTGGAGTGTTACGCTTCATACCATCAAAATTCGGTATTTACATCATATTTGGGAATAAGAGCGAGTGTGAGGTTGTGTTGGAGACCTTGAGGGACAATTTTCTTTTGAATTACATTCTTGAAACTTCACAGCCTGTTGAATCATTACTTCGTCTAGAAGTGGATCAGTCCCATTCTGTCATTAGCTCTATAGATCATATTGATGTTTGTGGTGCTTTGTCCATCCTCTATGTTAATAAAACATGGTCAAATTTTTCAATTTGGGTATGTTTATCAAAGTATTTTATCAATTCATTACTAACTCATACTATTTTAGAAATATTTTACTCGATGTCTCTCCTTGTCTTCCCAGTTTTATCGATATACAGAAATTGCAGAATGTTTCAATTTAACAAAGTCAGTACTAGATAATAATGATGAGCAGTCCACAGAACTGCATCACAACAACCTGGAAGCCTCTGATAATAAATCCAATAACTTGGGAGAGAAGCTCACCCACTGGGAAACCTTCTTATACGGTACTGATCGAATGGCTGCGTATGATCCAGAAAATCAAGTGGTCCATATTATATGTCATTCTATCTTCAACCCAACTTTCCCAGCAATGTTTATATTTCCAAGGATTGTTCCGATACTTTTATTCATCTCAGTCGTACTGAACAGTTTCATCTGATCACCATTATATTGATTTTTGCTTCTTGTTCATCTATAATTGTCATGTCTTACGATCAATCTGTCAATTCTGTCGTAGCAAGTCTCGAGACTAATTGTTCGTGTAAAAGAGCCGAGACCCTTCTAGACCCTGTTCTTCCCGCCAAAACTCACGGGTCTCGGGATCTCCTAGACCCGAGGATTGCCTCCGCCTAAATTCCAAGAGAAAAAAACAAAAAGATAAAACAACACACAATTTTACTAATCTCAACACAATTTGAACCCAAAGACCTGTTTTACATACCCACCAACCCATCCTATTTCAATATGGCACATCACTACGAGGAGCTTCCCGCCAATCCACCAGCCTACGAGGATAATAGCAGAGGGAGCAATAACAACAGACCATCCGAAGATGACGATGATATAGAACAACACGCTGGTGAACTTCGAGGTTCACAAGATTCATTAGCAAGAGAGATTGAGGAGATGGAAGTGGATGAACCTGGTTCTTCAAGTCGTCTGAGTGGATCATTATCAAGAGCTAGATTTGCTGGTCAAAGAATAGCGTCTCAATTCAATTCCAAAATCATAACGCCAGTTCAAAGAATATTGGATCCTGTTGCTGAAGGTTATTCATACGTATCTAGGAAATTTGAAGCTTATTTATCTAAATTAGGGAACCCATTGATATTGAAAAGATTCGCATATGTTATATTCATATCGGCTATCATCTACTTCATAACTATTGCTGGTCTGTTTCCAACTGATAACTCAAGACAGTTTGGTTCATTTAGTGATCGTGGATTATTGAACAATTTCATCAAAGATTCGATTGACTTGAAATCTATGGAGGAAAGTTTGGAGTATCTTTCATCAATCCCACACCATGCTGGTACTTCTGGAGATTTAGTATTGGCTAGATATGTTGAATCATTCTATAGGGAACAGAATCTAAAACTTGTTGATTTTGATGAATTGAGAACTACATTAAATTTCCCAAATAAAACAACACTAAGCTATGGAGATGTAACCATTGACATAACTGACCAATTCAATCCATTATCAAAAGATGAAAAAGTCACTGGTAATTTGATTTATGCTAACTATGGTCGTAAACTTGATTTTGAAAAGTTACAAAGTAAAAAAGTACACTTAGAAGATTCAATTGCTATCATAAAATATGGTAAAATACCAACAAGTTCTCAAATTCTATTAGCTGATACCTTTGGCTGTAAAGGTGTGTTGTTCATTTCAGAAAATGATGATTATCCAGATACCTATGAAAGAAGAAGTGTTGGAATTCCTGAATTTTATTTAGGTGATCCATTATCTCCAGGATGGTCATCAAGTCAACTACCAAATAGAATTAGCATGAAGGATGCAAGCATTGCAAAGATACCTAGTGCTCCATTGACAAGAAATCAAGCCAAACCATTATTGGAAAGTTTAAAATCTGGTGTGAAGTTTGATGATGAACAATTTAGTGGTGATGGTCAAACATTTGAAGTCACTTTGGATAACCATGTTGTATTTACAACAGACCATGGTATTTGGAATGTTTTAGGAAAGATTGAAGGTAAAGAACAAAGTGATAAGGCGTTGATCATTGGTGCTCAAAGAGATTCTCCTTGTAATGGTGCAATTTTCCCAAACACAGGTACTACGGTCTTGTTGGAGTTAGTTCAAGTTTTCATGAAGCTAAAGAGAAACTTCAATTGGACTCCTCTGAGATCTATTTATTTCATTTCATTTGATGCTTCAGAGTATAATTTTGCTGGTGTTTCAGAGTTGATTGAAGGAAAGACTCGTGAAATAAGAAAAGAAACAACTGCTTATATTGATCTTAGTGAAGCTGTTGCTGGTGATAAGTTGGACATTGCACTAAATCCAATATTCAAGACCTTATTTTCTCAATATCAAGAAGAATATGGTTTTAATTTACATTCATTACAAGAGTACAAGAATTACGTTCCGTTCATTACTGAAGGTGTTCCAGTTATTGATTTTGGTTATAAAGGTTTAAAATATCCAAAATACACATGTCAAGATACTTTTGAAGAGTTTAGAAAGATTGGTGATAAAGATTTTTCAAAACATGCTAAACTAGTTGAATTGATTTCTAAAGTTGCTTTGAATATTATCGAAGATCCATTACTTCCATTTGATGTCACAGAATATGTCGAAGGATTAAATGATATTTTCAAAGATTTACAAAGATATGCACATGATGTTGATGCTGGTCATAAATTGAGGTTTGACCCAATGATTGAAGGAATCTTGAAATTCAAAAGAGTTGGAAAAGAATTAGAACTGTGGATCAAAGCTTGGAAAGATATCGTTGAGGAAGATGGTGGTAATGAACCATCTCTGCTGGCTGTTCATAGATGGAACTGGAACTCAAAATTGAACCAAATCGAGAAATTATTTCTCGTGGATTTGGGCTTGCCAAAACGGAGATGGTATAAGAATTTGATTTTTGGACCTCAATTTTGGAAACCAGAAGAGGGTGACTATGAATGGTGGAGCTTCCCAAGTATTAGAGATGCTATATTCGATCATGACTGGAACTTGGCCCAGCAAGAGATTGATCGTGTGGGTATGGCATTATCTGAAGGAGCTAACCAATTCATTCAAGGATGATGAGATTTATGCATCATTGCTTCCGGTTTCTTAATGGGGATGAAGGTTATTTACACTTATATTGGATTGTTTTTAATTTGATTTTATTGGTTTGTTTGATCTTTAAAAATTCCACTCGTAGAAGCTTTTGACATGTTCAAGTGTCAATATTAATGTAACTACAATTCGAGTGTAACTCAATAACTTCAATACATTCATTCACTCATGCATTCATTCTCATATGCTCTATAGGCTAGCTGTGCACGTTTTGGATCTATTCATATTGAAGATTAGCCGCCTAAAGATGACACAAATTGAATTAAAAACAAATCAACGGATACTACCGCCTTATTGCCAGGGCGACATCTCTTTGATGGTGATGATTAACATTAACGGCGGCAAAACAACCCCATCTCGAGTTCAATTCGTAGTGGTCTAGTAACGTTTAGGCCATTATACTACTTGTATTCAGGGGCTTCATTCAAAGCCGACTGAATGTGATTTCGAATTTTGACCGTTTTCTGATGCTGATGCTTTGACAGGTCTGAACGTTGTGGGCAGTGGGCACCACCTACACCATTGTTGGTGGTTCTGCTGCTAAAGAACTAAGCAGCCACAGGCGGTTCTTCGCAGTTGATTAGAGACAGAAGAAATAAGAAAGAATATACGCAAAAGTACAGATTTTACAGAGTAGTTATACCTTGATTTAACTGGACCTTGCAGGTTTATTGATGACAATCATTTTGGGTTTGATGAGCTCAAAAGCCTCTTTGTTTTCCCAATCATTTGCATTGGTCTTCAATCCTAAAGTCACCAACGAAGTGCTAATGTGATCTGAGGAGTTTATAGTGCAAGCTTTAACCAATTCTTCAACCAAGTTCTCAGTTTTTTTTTTGTCAAAAACTCCTTGGTCTCATTTCTCTGAACATTGAAAGCTTTGAAAAAACAATGTGCAAAGCAAAACGCTTGATTGTGTTCCATGTCTCGATGGCGCAGCATAACTGCAAGATTAATTCTTCTCTTGATTCTAATTCCTTCAAATCTATCGAACGTTTCAAAAACATCATTCAACACTGACTGTGCTTCTTTCTTGGAGACGCAATTAGCAAGATTCATTCTCTTATTCTCACAAAACAGCTGAAGAAATCCAGAGGTTAAAAGAATTTGTTTGAAAATTGGCCATCTATTTTGAATTTCAAGATGATTTGAGGTGTTAGAACCACTTGTATCAAGATATTGACGATGAAATAAAAAGTCAGCGCTCAATTGGAAAGAAGCTGATATATATTCTGCTCTTGAGCTTGCACGTCTATGTTCAAGAGAACCTCTGTACATGTCCAAGGCGGTTGAACTGGTAGACTTGTGGAAATGTTCAAGACTTGTACCAAAAAAATTTGAAAACACTTTGAATGGTTTTGGTTTGATACTCAAGTAATTGTTATCAGGCCCAACACTGTATTTCTCCAAAATTTTCCCGAATAAAGTATGCTTTGAAGTTCTAGCAGTCTGAAATTCATCTAAAAATAGTAAATCAATGTTGAACGACTTGACATATTTTTTCATAATAGAATTTTCATTGTTCATAACTCTAGTGCAAAATAATAACAATGATTTAACACTCTTAAAAACTTGTGTATCCCTCTGTTCTTTTCTGCTCTGCATCTCAGGAAAGTGTTTTTCAATATAATCTGGATGGAATTCAAGATCCAGGACTTCGTAAGCACTTGAGAATGCTCTATTGTAAAGCTCAAGTTGACGAGGAGCTGTTATCCACTGTAAATTTTCCCATTCTCTTCTGATTATATGTACGGGTGCCGTTGGAGGCACATTTCTCCTGGGTATCCTTAAGTTGAAGATAAATTCTCGAAAACGGTATTCTCTGAACATGTGTTTTTTGTACTCTTCATCATTTGCAAAGCTTTTGACATAGTTGGTTGAGCGAAGGGGAATCAAAGCATAAAAATCAGCCTTCATTATACGCTCTGGGCCAAAAATTTCAAGAAATGTTCGGTTCAAACTCAACACATTTGTGTAATTCTTACTCATGAGTTTTGATTGATCATCAGAATCTATATAGATTCTAAAAATTTTAGTCAAAACCTCTAATGGGAACACTGTGTAATTATCAACTGGGAAATGCGACATTGAGAACTTGCTTGCTTCAATCAGCTTTGTTGATTAACTGCATAAGATTTTTTATGATGCTACGTTGTTATGAAAACACCCAGGTTTTAAGTATGAGAGGGAAAAGACATGAGATGTTATCTTGAAACATCTCTGAGAACTATTTCAAGGTTCGTGAGAGCCCATCATGACATAACTAAACCCAAAGCAAGAAATTACCTAATAAAACATACAAACTGTCCCTTTCTCTGGCCAAGTTTTCAAATAGAAAACATGATGGTAGAAGGACCGAATGCCCCTGAAAATTGATTATTGGTCAACGCGACTTAGTTACTAGCTGTCATTCTCCACGGGTCTTTGAGAATCAATTTCGCGAAGACGACTTTTATAATAATCACAGGCGTACAATTTCCAATTTGCGAAGTCCTACGAGAAAACGAATTAATAGAGCTATTTCATTAAAGGAATAATGTAGACCATGAAATATCGGATACACTGAAATGGCTCTTTTTAGGCTCTTTTGCGCCATTATTAAATTAATTATGTCGAGCTGGTTTATACACAATATGCAGCGCCAGCTAGCTGTACCTAATTCATAAGAAAAAAATAATATTTATATATTAATAATTCTTATCCGGCCTGCACTAGCATTAATAATTTTTACTATTAATTTTATATTTATTTATATTTTTATATTATTAATTTTTTAGTTT